AATCTGAGATAAGTGGAAACCCCAATGCTGTTGCCACAACAAAGGCCACCAACCTGGTGGTACTCATCTGGTGCTATCAGGAAAGACATCCAGACTCATAAACAGACTAAGCTGCAATCTATACTCCTAAAATAAGGTGTGAGGAAGAAGGCAAAGGGATGCAAGAGAAAAAACAGCACTTGGTTGACTTTCTCATAATCAGCAAAGTGGAATGAAATGTAAAGGACAGTGTTAACCAGAATGGCCTCAGTTCAGCCTCAGGGTAATTACCCATGTCTGGGTTTGTTTAAAAATCCTGCTCTTCTTATCAAAGTTCCCCACTGTTTTACATCTGGTATTGGACAGTAGCTATAGAAACCACTTGTGCTAAAGTTACACAACTATAAACAGCACTAGGCCATTTCCAAACCAAGGACAAGCAGGTCAAAAGTCTGGCATCCAATACGATTAAGAAAAACTTCTAGTACTATCCTCAATGGGAAATAGGTGAGAAATCTTTCTTTAAAGTAAGTTTTTACATACAATCTATTCTTTAAAAAAATATTGCATTACTTTGAAAACATTAATTGCCTAAAGGTCTATGGAAATATTTTAACATATATTTAAATCTTCATCTCTAGAGTTCTAAGTATGAGTGACAATTAACAATTGAACTTTGACATCTAGCATCCAACACATAATTTCTTAATTATAAAAAGGGCATTGTGAATATTCATACATAAGTAAGAATTAGCACTTTCTACATGATATCTACTAAAATCCACATAAAAGTAGAATCTCAAATATTACAAATAAACAGTGTAAAAATTAATAACTTCCATGCTGTATCTATTTCTTTAAATGGAAAAGATTCTTCCTTAAGCAATGAAAGATGTGTAACAGATTAAAACATGTACAAATATGTGCTTGCACACACTAATTCGGAGACCATTCTTCTCAAAGGTAAGTCTTTTAAATTTCCATAGTCCATTAAAAGAAACAGAAAAAAGCAATGTCATTATGTAAAGTTCAAAAACAAGCAAACTCAATTTGTTTAGGGATGAATGTAACAGTGCTAATATTACAAGGCAAGGCAAATTCCTGTTAACATCCTGGGAGGCGGTAGATGACGGTGTGATTTCCTGGGTCCCTGGCACCCACATGGGAAATCTGAATGGGTTTCTGGGCTCTTGGCTTTGGCCTGGCTCAGTCCTCAGTTGTGGGCATCTGGAAGTAAATCAGCAAGTAGATAAGGTCTATGTATCTATCTATCTATCTGGTTTTCAAATAAAAAGTTTTAGAAGTATCATAATGGTGGTTGCACCTGCAAAGGGAGGTATTTCTGAACAGAAGTGTTGCGTGGCATTATTCTGTCATCTTCATCTTGATGATGACTGAACAAACACGCATTTTGTAACTATTTGCTAAATGGTATTTTCATGTTTTAGGCAAAAAACAACATATGAAAAACTCAGGATTGGAATATTGCAAGGCCAGAGAATAAGAAGCAGATACAATGTCATGTTTGAAGTTGAAAAACACTGAACTGAAAAGACAGTTCTCAAATTACCATGGGTAAAATCCAGAAAAATAATTTAAAAAGTATAAAATGAAAAATATGTCCTTCTTTCAAGAATTACTAAAGAAGCACCAGAGGATAATACTGAGTCTACCTTGAGATTTCCCATTTCCTTAAACTTACACGTTAGGATCTCTGATTATTATTTACATTTTATAAATGACCTATGCCTATGATTCTATAACACCTGTACTTTAAAGACTGTTTTACTATCACAGCTTAAAAACACGAGCATTAGAGCCAGACCACGTGCTCTCGCGGCTTCAGGGAACTGCTTGTTTCTGCAAATAAAACAGTCACTAACCAGCACTCTGAGATGCAAGATTCAAAGATCTTAATTCATTGCCTTTCCCAGAAATGGTGAAGAACAGATCTTTTCCTTTTTCTTGGTACATCAGACACAATCATTCAAAAAAAAAAATTTGTTTGGCAAAATAATTTGAAATGTATTTTATTTACCAAAAAAGAAAAAGTGAAATTATGACCCCCTCTAACACTGAAATTGAAGAAAAAGGAAACACTATCAGCAAGAGCAAATTCCTTTGGAACTGTTCTAGTCCAGGTTTTTCAAAGACCTCAAACTACAACAATATTTGCAGACAACGCAATCCGCTCCCATCTGACTTCCTTTAAAAAATACATTTTTAAATGTTACTGTCCCATGCTACATTTTGACAGTCATGAATCCTGGTTAGTGTTAAGACCTAGCCGGGGCTTATGTCCAAGTGCCACAATTTACTCTGACTTGGTATCATTCTGTCTCATTTTTCCTTTAAACAAATGAGGTGTCACCTACACCTTACCAAAGGATACTTCTAATTTCTAATCTTTCAAAGGTATAATAAAAAAGCAAATCTACAATAATAGCAAGAGATAGGCAACCATCACAAAATATTTTGGGAGGTAAATCTAATCAAGAAGCTGCCTATGAAAAATATAGTATATACTATATTATACACTATATATATATGCTATATATACTATATTATATACTATATGTGCTATATATAGTATATGCTATATAACATATACATACTATATATGCTATAGTATATAGTATAGTATATATACAGCATATATATAGTATGTGTGTGTGTATATATATATATACTATATATACTATATAATGACGATAAAAACATTCTAATACAAGAAGCTGCATAGCATAAAAACTTTAAAGTTTCCTCTACTTCAGGGCATCCATAAGCCATGTTCTCAGGTGACCACAGAGTATATTCTCTCCTTTCCTTGTTTAAGAAACATTGTTATAACAGCAATGATTGCTTCTCTTTTTTCAGCTTCAAGACATTTCAGTTCTTTATTAAAACACTCAATTCGGGGCATACTTCATTCTGATATACAACTCGTCTTCTTCGTGTTACTAGACTGTCACTCAGCCCAAAACAAAAAAATCACATAAACTTTCATTATTTGCCACTTGACCTATTATTCCATCATTAATTCAACTGAGCCATACAAAATGACAACTGATCTATATGGCAGCAATTAGTCTAAATTGATATCATATGATATCTAGAGCTAAACATGCCTATACGTTAGTACTTCATAAATGACTAAAAGTTTATAGTAGCACATCAGGTAAACAAGTCACAAAGCAGGGAAATATCATTGCAATGTAATGGGCTACTTGTGACACACACATCTCCACCTGCTCCACTTTCAGTTCAGCCTCCTGCTTTCGTGCAAGAAAAAACAGCAGGTGATGGCCCAAATATTGGAACATGTGTCACTCACATGGGATACACTCTGCCATTCAAATAGACAAATCAATGATAAAAACATAAACAGTGCGCAGGTGGTTCCTTTGATACAATATTAACTTAAAATAGTTTTTTATATTTAAACCATTATCTATTAGAGAGCAGATTGCAATACATGAAAATTGTTTTAATTTCAAGGAGGACCCAGCACAATAGTTCATGGCTAACTCCTCACCTTGCAAGTGCTGAGATCCCATATAGGCATCAGTTCGTATCCCAGCAGCTCCACTTTCCATCCAGCGCCCTGCTTGTCGACTGGGAAAGCAGTAGAGGGTGGCTGAAAGCCTTGGGACACTGAACCTACATGGGAGATGCAGAAGCTTCTGGCTCCTGATGGGTTCAGCTCTATCCATTGCAGCAATTTGGGGAGTAAAACAATGGATGAAAGATCTTCATATCCTTCTTTCTGATAATAGATAAGTATATGATATATGTATATATATATATATATTTTTTTTTTTAAGAAAATCTTGAGAAATGTTACTCAGGGTGTGCTCCCATCTATCCACGAAGATTCTGGTAGAAAAGGTTATGTAAGGTGACGTTCATTTAACACAAAACAACTATAGTCTGATCTGCTCCAGAGAGCTCTAGTGATAAGCATTTTTATCCCATGAATTTTATCATTTTATAAAGATTTATTTATTTGTTTTGAAGCCAGCATTACACACACACACACACACACCTCCCTTCCATCCACTGGTTCCCCAGATGACTGCAATGGTCAAGAACAGACCAAGCTGAAGCCAGGAACCAAGAACTTCATTTGGATCTCCCATGTGGGTAGTAAGGACCCAAACTCTTGGGTCATATCTTCTGCTGCTTCTCCCAAGTCCTTAGTAGGAAACTGGATTGGACACCAGAACACAACAGTGCCCCTGAGGGACGCTGGCATTGCAGGCCATGACTTTATCTGCTATGTACCCTTGCCAGCCTGTATCTTACAAATTGCATAAGAAAATGAAAATTATAGGAGCAACCACTGTGATCACAATCCTACACAGCAACATAACTATATACTCTGTCAAGAGAAAAACTAAGTGGTAGTAAAATAAAGTGACACTCTATGGCAACTCCATGAGCAACACTAGCTAACCAGAACTAGACAAAAAGAGAAAATCTTTAAAAGCAACTAGTCATAGCCACTGGATAGTGTTTACCTTTTCATCTTGGCATATTCTAAAGACAGAAAAATGTACCAGAAGGGAAGTTCCATGATGCAGAGAAAAGGCACAGAATTTCCAGTGCAAACAGGGATTTCACCCTCAACTCTGCCACTTGGGTAAACTGGGACAAGCCTAGACCACCCCCACCTCAACTCTAATGTGGACAAACCAGTAAGAGCAAATGGTTAGGAAAGTTTTTTGAGCAACAAAGCACCATAAAGGCGCTAGTTTTGAGGCCAGCATTATGGCAGAGTGGATAAAGCAGCCAACTTCAACACCAGAGTCTCATTACTGTGCTGGCTCATGTTCTCTCTATTCCACTTCCGATCCAACTCCCAGCTATTGGCTGGGAAAGCAGCAAAAGATAGCCCCTGTGCTTAAATTTCTGCACTCAAGTGTGAGACTTATAAGAAGCTTCTGGCTCCTGGCTTAGGTTGTGGCCATTAAGAAAGCAAGCCAGCAGATGCAATATCTTTTTCTTTTAAAAAAAAAAAAAGTGCTACTTTTCACTCGGCTCGCAGAATCCCTCACCAGGAAATAAAAGTGGCTCTTCCTCTCAGGTATCTTCATGATTTTAACATATTAATCAACAATTTTCTTTAGCACTTATGCAAAGGTAAGCAAGTCTAAAAACTACAGCCAGAAACATAAAGATACAAAGTCTTATGAAATATCCATATTCTCTAGACACGTTAGTTATAACCTAGTTTTACATTTAAAAGGGGGAGATGGAGAATATAACAATATTATATGGTGGGCCTGGAGTTATACTGAAGTTAAAGCTAACAAATGAGAAATCAAGTACGAAGAGGCACAGTATGTAAAAGTGTAAAAATCCAAAATTAATAGTCTTCCACTGCCAAAGTCAACAGTGCTGCACAAGCCTGTGAATAATTTGTTAGACGCCTGTGAGAACTGTTTGACAATTTTATGTCATCACTTGTATTATAAAAGACTGGGATCTTGCTACAATTATATAAACTCCTCCCCACACAAACAGAAGGTAGAAATGAAGTAATTAATTATAACCCATACATGATTAATCTGACAAAGAATTTTTGGTTATAGTAAATTCTACACTAGTTAAACCCGATTAAATTTCATCATAGAAGAAAATGAAGGTCATCACAAAATGACTCAGACATTCAGCTTTTCCTGATTGTTTTTTAGCCCCTACTAATTAAAATATACAGTGACAGAGAAACTTCAGTCCATTGCTTCACTTCCAAAACGATGCAACAGTCATGTCTGAACCAGAACCAAATCCAGAAGAAGCCAGAAACTCCCTCCTGGACTACCGCATGAGTGGCAGAGGTCCAAGTACTCATACCAGCTTCCCTTGCCTTCCTAGGTACCTGAGCAGGAAGCTAGCTCAGAGGATCAGAAACAGAACAGTCAGAATTTGGGACAGCCCTATGGGACGTCAGCTTTGTAAGCAGTGACTTATGCTGTGGCACAAGGGCATCCCTTCTCTTTGTGTGTCTGTTTTTAATGAATCTGAAATGGAAAGGAGGATGTATAAAAGAACACCTAACAAAACTTGGAACTACCTAAAAAGGTTTAAAAATTCAATTGGATATCCCCACCCTCCTTCTATTGTCATATTAATAGAGGAATAAAATTCTCAAAAACCTACGTTTCCATAAGACATAAATAAATTTGTTTAGAGAAATATTGTAAATCAGGGTGGGGAGTTTGTACTAAATAAATTAGGAACTCAAGAGAAAGCAAATATGGAATTAGCCCATGATGTATCTTGATTTTCCAGTTTTTCCAATAAAATAGCACTAGCTGATTTATTACATGGTCCTATTAATCATGAAAGAACTTGTTCCTATATTTCTTGTTTCCATTTTTTTTTCTTTACAATTTACATGGGTTACACAATAAAGAATGCTGATGTCATTTACTTTGTTTTCTAATATCAAGATTTAAATTATAAAATCTTTGGGTAATACTTTTACTTCTTACATGTATTAGTTTTGCAGTAACAAATATTACTTAGTGTAATTATTATTATGAACCCTAATGTTTACATTAAATGCTATGATTTCTGAGAGTTGAAATATTACTATTTGAATTACCTAGTATCTCACTTCCTCTTGTATATATGTGTGCATTTATGTACATTATATATACATGATATATACATGATGTTCATATATATATGAAAATTAACTGACATGAAGAGGAGAAAAGAAGTATATTCTAACATGATTGTGCTTCAAAAAATTGACAGAGATGCATTACTTGGTGTACAGTAATACATGTTATATTCACCGAATTATACCCGCTATATAATAATATACCCGCTATATAATAATATACCCTTTTCCCTTCATGATCCTCACCATGAATCCTACATTAGGTCATATTAATATTCCTGATTTCAAACAGTATGCTATATATGGAATAGCTACTTATGAAACAAATACAATAAAATGTTAACAATTTTTTAAATAAAGTATTAAAATTTTTAGAGGTAAGCTTATTATTTTAGTGCAAAAAAACTTTTGAAAGCTATGCACATGAAGGGTCTCCTGAAAGTTTATGAAATATACAACTTATGAAAAAACTGAATGGATTCCAAATTTTATATCATAATAAACTGACCTTTAATTCAATTTTCCATGAACTTTTAGAAGTACCCTTGTCTGAAACAAGTCTTCTATTCCACAAGATAAATACAGGCAATGGTTAACATTACAATGTATGTTCTTCACTAAAATCCTTATGTCGAAGTTATAGCCTCTAGCATGTCAATATTTGAAGACAGGGCTTTTAAAGAGGTAATCATGATGAAATAAGACCATATGAGGGAGAGGTCCTAATCTAATAGGACTAGTTTCCTGACAAAAGGAAAAGACATTGACAAACAGATACACCAAGGGAAAGCCACGTGAAGACTCAGGCGGAGTGCATGCTCTGCAATCCAGCAAAGAAGGGCTCCCCGGAATCAACTCCCGCCAGCACCTGCATCTGGCACGGCCAGCCCCCAGAACTGTGAGACAATACTCTCTCCTGTTTCATCACCCAACCTGTGGTATTGCTACAGCAACCCAAAGAGACCAGCACAGTTAGTAAACTGAACAATAGATAAAGCAGGAAAAAGTCAAAATGCTGTGCAGGGGGCAAGCGTTCAGCCTAGCAGCTAAGACGTAGTGGCATGGCCATGTTCCACGCTAGAGTGTCTGGATTTGATTCCCAGCTCTGGCTCACACCTCCAGCTTTCTGCTGGCTCTGAGCAGCAAATCAGCAGGCAGAAATTCTATCTGTCTCTGTCTCTCTTCACCATACCTCCTCTTCTAAAATGCTTCATAAGCACATTAAAATTATTTTAAATTGTTAAAACTTATTATTTATTTGAAAGGCATAGAAAGAGAGACAATACTCAGAGATTTTCCTTTTCTGGTTCACTCCTTAAATGCCCATAAGAGCCAAACGATGGTCCAGGCCAAAGCCAGGAGATCAGAATACAAGCCGAGTTACCCACACAGATGGCGAAATCTCAACTGCTTCAGTCATCACCTGATACCTTCCAAGTATATGCAGAAGCATAAGCTAGAAACGGAGTTTAGACTCAAGCCCAGATACTGCAGTATAGAATGCAAATGTTCCAAACAGTATCTTACCACTGTATCAAGCATCTACCCTTACACTTACTTTAACTTTAAAAAATTGTATACTGAAGGCATGCAATGAACCTAACACTTAAGATGCCTTCATCCCATATCGAAGCATGCAGGTTTGATGCCTGTCTCCAGCTCCTAACACAAACCCTGTGAAGTAGCAATGATGGTTCAGGTGATTGGATTCCCACTGCCCAGAGGAGGGGTCTGAATATCATTTCTGGCTCCCACCTTTGTGAAAGGTGTGTGGGGAGTAAAGAAGCAGACAGAGTGCTCTCAAATTTAAATTGTACATATTTATTAATTCTTCATATAAAATCAAGATCTATAAAAATTCCCAATGTTGCCTTTTATGAAATGATGCCATAACTTAAGTACATAAAGTAATCTGAGTACACAAATATCAATTGTGATAACTTTTTCTCTAACCTATATCCAATTGGGGTTCTTTCATAACAACTCACCTGTATTTCTAAAGCATATAACTTAGTTTGTTACAGAAATGACAACTTTATTCTTACACTCATATCTCACTAGTTGAACCAGTATTTAATCAGAGTACATCTTGTTATAACAAATACAACTAGTATCAATGGCTCTAGCAGCACCATATACAGAGACAATTCAGTTGGCAGGCAGGGGTGGAATCACAGAGTTAGAACAAATTATCACATTAGCTAAAACATTAGCTAAAAAGTAGACAACAAATTACAGGTATTAGTCAGTGTATTTCAGAGCAGCAATGGCCAGTACTGTTTAAGAAACTAAGTTTGCAATGGATGTTAGGTAAGAAAGTCTTTACAATATACATGAATAAATATTGGTTATTTCAAAGCACCATTTCGGAAGGTGTCACTGTAGCAAATTATTTGGAAACCACTCCTGGAGTTTCCAAATCTATAATATTTACAGGTAAGCCAACATCCTTGGAAAAAGGATTTAATTTCTAAGAAAAAAAAAAAAAGCTTTTACCAAATAAGTAAACTGTGGTATAAAATGTAAACAGAAATGCCCAATTACATCATGTGAAGAAAAAAAAACTTACTATGAAGTAAAATCATTACTTAATATGAATATCTTTATTTAAAAGTATATCTAGTTGAACGAAGACAAAAATAGAACTCAAACATTCCATGTCATTTGAATTAAACTTCTAATATTTTTGCTTTAAAAATGACTACCACACTCTCACTTTAGCTACATTACACATACCAATACATCTATGTATATGTGTATATACACAATGGATACCATACGCTGTAGATATCAATCAACTACTTACACCCATGCACAGCAGAGCTTTTGGAAGCACCCTGATCTTTTTTATTATTCTTATTTCCCATTTTAGAATTGTGCAGGCATAGAGCTTCCTTCCTTTCCACACCGCATCCCCTTCTCTCTGCTTCCCATCCACCCGCCCACTGTCGCCTGAGTTTTGTAGTAAAACAGTCTATCAGGTATATCCTTGACTTCAACTTTCTGCTGTTTACGTGGGTCATGACACTGTTGGTACAGGCAACGGTAGTTGTCTACGTATATTTAGAAGTTTCACTAGGAGTCTAATTTTCAGTAGCAGAGATGCACTCTGAATTTTCTTGGATTCCTGGTACTCTGCTCTCCACTACAACCTTCATTTGTAAAATTGCAAGTGTGTGTGTGTATTTATCTTTACTTTTTGTTTTATATTTTCAAACGAGGTTGTCTTATATGATATTTGTCCTTTTGGAATTTGCTCATATCACTGGACATAATGGTCTCCAATTGGGACCATTTGGGGAAGCATCCTGATCTTACAGCCAAATTATTCATGGAACTTCTGATCATTACTAAGTGATATAACAGGTTCACTAAAACATTTTGCAAAATGAAATGACAAAAATGCAATATTTTAGGAAGAATCATTAAACAAATAAGGGTTAGAAGTGTATGGGAGGGGCCCAGCGGTGTGGCCTAGTGGCTAAAGTCCTCACCTTGAACGCCCCGGGATCTCATCTGGGTACTGGTTCTGATCCCAGCAGCTCCACTTCCCATCGAGCTCCCTGCTTGTGGCCTGGGAAGGCAGTCGAGGACAAGGACGGCACAAAGCCTTGGGACCCTGCACCCGTGTGGGATACCTGGAAGAAATTCCTGGATCCTGGCTTCAGATCAGCCTAGCATCAGCCGTTGACTCACTTGGAGAATGAAAAATCAGACAGAAGATCTTCCTCTCTGTCTCTCCTCCTCTCTGTATATCTGACTTTCCAATAAATAAATGAATCTTAAAAAAAAAAAAAGTGTATGGGAGAAATCATTTAAGTCAGTTTCACTGACAGCTGCTAGCATAAGCCAGGTATAAGGTAATATGACTTTAAATTAAAGGCAAATGGAAGTAACAGTGAAAGACAAAAAGAACCAAGTAAAATTACATATGTATGAAACACTAACAAATAGTTATTTTCATTACTATGAAAGAATCCTTAAGCTAAGGATTTGATGAAAACAAGTCAATTGCAGAGTATAGAGATAAGAATTGTAAAATCTTCAAATACTACCACCCTGCAATTTATAGCAAGGATGGGACCCATCTCAGTTTCGAGGACATATGGGAGAGCTTCCCAAGTCAGCTGAAATAGAGACCAAACAACATTCTGTAGACTCAAGTAAGCTCCACGATGAAGCATTATTCATCACTTCCGGACCTGATAGATGCATTACCTCTTCCTCTCAACTGTAAATGGGAGAGAGTGAGACAGGCACACACACACACAGCACCTGCTGATCCATAATAGGTGAGGGAGAAACTTCCTTTCTTCTCAAATAAAGTAACATTTTCTCTTCTTTACAGTCTGCAACCAAGTAGATTCTGCTTTGGGAGAAAAATGCTAACACACTGCTGATTTACTGACAGTCGTTTAGCTGAAGGAATGCTCTGCTCTGTAACTGAACTAGCAACAGCAGTGTCAAGTCAAGCTTGAGAGGTTCAGGCCAACTACTACCTCTGCTGAGTTTGTGCATCCTACTCTTCCCTCCAGCTCCAATCCCAAACAAATGTCACAAATCTCTTCAACTTCCTCTCTTCCAATACTCAACTGTAGGTTTTCAAAAGTCAAAAACTAACACTTTGAAACTCAATCACAGGAAAATTACTTAGAAATCTCTACCTTGGAATATTTCAGAATTTATGCTGAAAATACAAGGACAACCTACCTCATATTCCTTCACCTTCTCCATTGTGATCAAGCGCCTTGACGTGTGACTGGAAAGCTTCTGCTCACAGTTACTAATAAGTGTGAGGCAGGGGTGACAGGGCACCATGTCTTCTGTGTACCTGAAAAGAGAAGCTGTGTTAGAACTCTCGCCCACGCAGCCCAGACACAGGGCTATCCAGCATGCTGTGGGCCATCCTCCCATTACATGCTGTACCATTCATTCTATACATGCTAACCATCCATGAAGCCCACATCTATCTATATTTTTAAAATGCAAAATATTCTAATATAATGACGTCCAAAAGAAGTTTTGGGTTTTTTTTAGCTAAAGCAAAAGAAAAAAATGCAAATTTGTCTTGATGAAGACTACTCAAAATTTAAACCACAAAAAATAAGGTGACAACTGCACACCACACAGTTCCACAGGAGCAGATGAGGCATACAAAAGAACATGCTCCAACAACCCTTCGACATGACTGTCTTCCCAAAATATAAAGTCCAGGAGCATATGTACTTTTTCCCATGAAATGAAGTGCCCTGCAAAGTTTTAATGGCATCTTGAGACTTTTATTAAGCTTGCAAATACAGCACTAAAGCTATATAATAACATATAAATATAAAATTATACAAATAAAATACAACTAAAAAAAATCAGTTCTCTAATGACATTAACCAGGAGATAAAACTGACAACAGTAACAAGTCTATACAGCACGTATCCTATACATGAATACAAATGATGAGATGATATCAGGAAAGCAGAATAGTCAGGTACAATAATGAAGAACCAGAGCAGAAGAAACAGGAGGCAGACTTAGGGCAAACAGCTGTGGAGTAGAAAGTGGAAGAACGGGGCCAGGGAGGGCACTCATTAGATAAAACTACCTTGAAGAACATCGCGATGGGCAGTTCTTACTGTTCCTTTGCAAAGCCTTGTGCCCTTCTGGATACTATCTGCACATGTTTATTACTAGTTTATCCTGAAGCTCTCATCTAAAATGGGAAGTGTGATCAGTACCTCATCTACAGGTCTGGGACCTGAGCCAGCTGGTCTAGGGCATCCACTGCACTTAACTGCCACTCTGACTTCTCTAGTGCCCTTGGACCTTCCCCAAGCTCTTGCTCATTACCTCAAGCACATGTTCAAAGCCATCACCACCCACTTAACCAGAGCATCCACAATGTACTTGACCTCATTATCAGTGAAAAGAATTCTCTTGAAGGCATTCTCTGCCTTCTTCCCTGGAGTTTTCACAAGTAGTGACCATTGCAGACATCATCTAATAATTTTAATGTTCATTAGTAAGAAATGTACTTCTTTTGAACAGCAGTCAACTTCAAGTTTGGAATTTTTCTACAAAGCATAAATGAAGAAATATATTCTATCCCATCACTGAGACTAAAATAAAAAGTGAACACATAGAGGATGTAGTTTTGACCTTAAACTTAACAGCAGGGCCTGTGAATAACTGAAATATCTGTTAAACTTAGTAATTTAGTAAATTTAATAATTTTTAAAGGGAAAAAAAATATTCTTTATTTCGTGGTGGGATCGCCTTAAGCATTTTTATTTAAAATGTCACTTAAATATGTAAAGACATAAATTATATACAAATCCCTTATGCCTGTAAGCCTTATGTAACTATAAAGCTAAAAACAAATTTATAAAGCTAATCTAAAAGTATAAAGCCAATATAATTTTATTGAGCATTTGTAACATGAATGATGTTAAAATGCTCAAACTACGTTACCAGCATTTATCTGGCTTAACCACAAAATTTGTAAGCGTTACATTATCTTTCCATTTCATCTTTGATCTTGGGCATGAAGGAGCATCATTTGGATCAATGTACCTGAACTTGACTATAATGTGCAATTTTTATTTTTAATTTATTTTTTAATAATGAATACATGGTTTATCAGGGTAGGAAGGATCCAGGTTTAGGGAAAATTGGGTAAATTCACTGCTTCCAAATTTGCTACTTCTTCCAGTTGTTCCTGGGGGGAGGGGAGAAACAAATGGGAAATCCACTCATGACTTTACACGTGTCCCAGTACCTAGGGATGAGGAATTACTACCTCATATCAGCCCAGAATCTCAATGTGGACATATTTCAAGGGTTCTGTCCAAGTGGCTTGGACAGTTCAGAAACGCTGCGAATTTCACCGATCCAAGGATGATGTCATCCTCCCAATGTCCATTGGTTCCATTCACCGAGATTTTTTGCTGTCATCATTTGTTTGGGGTAGTTGTCCAGTTAGTTTCGTTCTTCTGTTACAACACCAAATGTGTTGCCATTCTCCTTTTATAATAGGACCTACATCTACTGCTCTACCTTTTTCATTAAGTAGGGCATATTCTTGCAGGCAAATCCTAATACCTGAGCAGCTGACCCAAGCATCACCAGATCCCCCACCCCTGGGGCTTACAAACTTGACATCCACCAAGCAGGCGGGCCCCAGGGCCCAGGACAGGAGACCCAAGTCCCACCAAATCCCCCACCTCTGGGGCTCATGAACTTGACACCCATCTAGTATGCAGGCCCTGGGACCCAGGTCAGGAGTCCCAACCCCCTCCACAGCTCCCCCACCCCCAGGATTCACAACACCAACACCCACCTACAAGGCGGATCCTAGGGTCTGGGCCAATTGACCACACACCACCAGCTCCCCTGTCCCCAGGGCTCAGTAACCCAGCCCCCACCACACAGGTGGGTCCCATGACCTGAGCCAAGCTACCTGAGCTCTGTCACATTTCCCAATCCCTGGGACTCAAGTACCCAGCCCTCACTGGGACCAGACTGGCATGACTCACCTCACCTCAGCATCCGCAGTCTTAATGTGCAGCCTGCCCTAACATAGCCTGCCCCCTCTTCCAGCTCCTGTTGGTGGGTGCTGCAGCCTGTCCCAGCCCAGCCTGAATTCTGTCCCAGTCCTAATGTGAACTGGCTGGTGTTGAGGCCCAATCTGGCTCCTGCCCTGGTTTCAGATCTGCCAGTGGGTATTATGTGCTGGCCCAAACTGGTCTGTCCCTAGATCTGACCCACACGTATGCCTGTGGGTACTATAATTTGCCAAGGTCTGGGCTGCTCCTTGCCTTTCTTCTTGCGCTCACCTGCAGGGGCTGCATCACAATGATTCCATTCTCCATTCTTCTCCTCCCAATGGCAGTTCTCACGCACATCAGCGGGTCACTGGCCCAGGTTGACTTTGTCCACCTCCTGTTCTGGCAAGAACAGTGGCCTTGCCCAAACAGCCACACCCATTCTGGTTCTTGTTGTTGGTTGCTGCAGTCCAGCACTACCTGGTCCACACCTAGACACAGCTTTCACATAGTTCAGCGGGAGTCAAGACCTAGTCTGGCCTATTCTACACCCAATCTGGCTCTCACAGTACCAGTGGGGGCTGCAATCAAGCCTAATCTGCTGCTCCAGCATCCCAGTGCACACCCACACCTGTGCAGTCTGTAGGCATGTACAGCCACACCTGCTGCTCTCAATCCTACTCTCATTCTCAGCTGTGAAAACCCCAACCCAGCTGGGGCACCCCCTTAACTCCCCAGCAAAGCCTAAACCCACCCGCAGACCCACTACTCTCACTCTTGTTCTCCCCTCCAACTTTGGCGTCAGTGCCCTACATATATACACAAGTCATGGACTTATCAATGAAAGTTCCTAACCTGGGCATAAAAACCACAGGTCATCTCCCACTGACACCTGTGCGATCCAATCATCCCTCTGTACATCAAGACCCTCTAACCGTGACAGTGAGTCCACAGGCGGCCCAAGGGGCTTCACCCAGTGCCTTTGGGGTCTGGGCCACCAACAATAGGCACCCGTGCAAGGTCAAAAAACCTAAGCTCCAGGATGAGGTGGTCCTGGAGGCCTGCTGAGCTCCCCTCCCTCTGCCAGGGGTCCAGTGTGCTCAGCTATACGTAGCTGTGCCAAGTGATTTTTATTTTTATAATTGAATCATACAACAGAATTTGCCTAAGAAATTAATTCAATACTAGGATTGAACACACACTGATTACACCAAAAACACAAAAATCTTAAAATTATCAGTATAAACGTACAATTTTCTATTAAACTTCTACTTATTCCTGATTCAATGAAAAGGTATATTTTCCAATATAACATAGCCAAACTAATCCTAAACTGCTTAATGTAGAAGATTATTATTTCAGAATTGCAGATAATATTAGATCAAATTTACTGATATTGTAATTTTTACAAGAGGAAAGATTGCAGATGACTCATACTGAAAAGTAAAAACCGTCGATTTCCCTAGCATAAACTAGAAATTACATTCATTAATAAGTCAACACAAATGATTAGTAATTCATCAAAAAACCACTTTACTAACGGAGGGAGAAGACAGAGAAGTCTAGTAGTAAACACCAGAGGTCCCAGCAATAACATCATGAAGCCAGATGTGAAGGAAGCCAACAGCAGAGCAGTGTTCCCAGGGCTGCCAGGCACTGAGTTCACGGGAATCTACCTTTTGGCAAAGCATCCAAGGCAAAAAAAATAATAAAAACTTTTTTTTCTACTTTTAAAAAATCTCCTTTAGTTATATGTATTTACAAATTCTAACTTGTTCAAAACTAATAAAATACAGAAATCACTGAAGAAACAGTCAGTTACTACTTCTAACGGTTTTTTTTTTTAAAGATTTATTTTTATTTTTATTGGAAAGGCGGATATACAGAGAGGAGAGACAGAGAGGAAGATCTTCCGTCCGATGATTCACTCCCCCAGCGGCCGCAACGGTCAATGCTATGCCAATCCGAAGCCAGGAGCCTCTTCCAGGTCCCCCATGTAGGTGCAGGGTCCCAAGTCTTTGGGCCGTCCTCGACTGCCTTCCCGGGCCACAGGCAGGGAGCTGGATGGGAAGCAGGGCTGCCGGGATTAGAACTGGCGCCCATATGGGATCCCGGGCGTGTAAGGCGAGGACTTTAACCACTGTGCCACTGCACCGGGCCCCTGAAGGTTTTTTTTAAAGGAATAAATAAAAGAACTCCAAAAGAAACTCTTGACCACTAGAACTTCAACTGCAATTGAACTAAGAACTACAAAATAGTGAATATGCTAGAAGTGAACAAAAATTAATCGTATTTCTAAGGCACACAGGAGCTAGTTTAAGAGATCTTCATGGATCAAATCTGGAAAAACAGCAAAAAATAAGAAATAAATTACAACCCAATGGATAATTCAGGAATCCATGACTTCACACTACTACAAATAAATAGGATATAAGTGAAAGTTCTTCATGCAGTGCCATCTTGTAAATGGTGAAGAAATAATAGAACAGAAAAATCATTTGGCAACCACCACAGTGGTGGCTGTCAACAGTGGAATTGTAAATGTGAGTAGCAGATGATGAACAACAAGATCCTGGTATACTCACAGGCTGTTTCCCATGTAATACTCATCAAAGAGGAAAAGGATGACTCAGAGTGAAGACACCTAACAGAGAACATCATGATCAGAAGATCAAGATTAGGACCCGGCACGATGGTGCAGTGGTTAAGGTCCTCGCCTTGCACGCCCGGAATCCCATATGGGCACCAGTTCTAATCCCGGCAGCCCCGCTTCCCTTCCAGCTCCCTGCCTGTGGCCCGGGAAAGCAGTCGAGGACGGCCCAAAGCTTTGGGACCCTGCACCTGCATGGGAGACCCCAAAGAAGCTCCTGGCTTCGGATTGGCTCAGCTCCGGCCGTTGCGGCTGCCGGGGAGTGAATCATCGGACGGAAGATCTTCCTCTCTGTCTCTCCTCTCTGTATATCCGCCTTTCCAATAAAAATAAAAAAAGAAATCTTTAAAAAAAAAAAAGAAGATCAAGATTAGCATAACCAGTAGATATAATCCATGTATTGCTCCAAAATGTGCCTCAAGGTGATCAGCTTTGTGGTATTCCTGCCAAGAATGCTTCACCTCAGTCTGGTCATAAAGGAACCATTAATCAACCCTGATCAAGGGTCAACTCTATAAAACTGCTGAGGACATAAAGGACAAGGAAAGAGTAAGGAAATATTTCATACTGAAATAGATGGACAAAACAAGACACATTAACACAGCGACTGATCCTGGATGTACTGCTACTGTTAACCTGAATGGGGCTGGTGACGTGGACAGCAATGCCGTTATCAACACTGATTTTCAGAGATGATGACCATGGAAGGGTACTTCCTTACACTGAGAAGTGCAATGGAGTATAAAGGACGGAAAGGACATCATTGCGGCAGCTTCTCTCCCAGAGTTACAAAGAGCGTTATTGGTAAGGGGTAAGAGAAGGAGGAAGAACACGAGGAGATTACATTAATATTTGGGGTAAACAATCTGGATGAGGACAGAGATGCAAGTTTTTGGGTACTGTATTTTTTGAGTACCCAATTTTTATAAATTTGAAATTATTCCCAAATAAATATCAACCCTAAAAGCTATTAAGACAAGGGCCCGGCGCGGTGGCGCAAGTGGTTAAGTCCTCGCCTAGCACGCCCGGGATCCCATATGGGCGCCGGTTCTAATCCCGGCAGCCCCGCTTCCCTTCCAGCTCCCTGCCTGTGGCCTGGGAAAGCAGTCGAGGACGGCCCAAAGCTTTGGGAACCTGCACCCGCGTGGGAGACCCGGAAGAGGCTCCTGGCTTCGGATCGGCATAGTATCGACCCGTTGCGGCTCACTTGGGGAGTGAATCATCGGACGGAAGATCTTCCTCTCTGTCTCTCCTCTCTGTATATCCGCCTTTCCAATAAAAAAAAATAATAAAAATAAATCTTAAAAAAAAAAAGCTATTAAGACAAAAAACAAGTAGCTTGCTACCAGAACCCGGTTTGTCTAAAAGACTGCTTTTGTATTGAAAAATACAATTAAGTTCTGCGAAATATTAATAAAATCTGACATGATACATATCAAAAATAGAGCAGGATGTTGAATAAGGAAAACTACAGCTAATTAGCATACAGTATGAGAAGAAGTTGTTTCGTTCTTTGGAATTAACTGTCCTCACTTCTAAAATGAAGAGGTTAAATGACATTATCAATGGCAGCCAAAAAAAACCCAATGTGGCATGAACACGTACCATTATCAGCTGATAAACAGATACAAGAATAAAGCTAGGCAATGGTATTTCTAAAACAACATTTGTAAAACAAATTTTAAAAAGTTTCCAATTGCCAGGAGCCTACTCAGAACCATGAAAATAAAGATAAGCCACCACTAATCCAAAATGGTTTTTTTATAATTGTTTTGTAAATATAGTAAGAAATAACCAAATTTTAAGATTGAAAACTATCTTACATATCTGAAGATCTCACATATTCAAAGACCCTGTCTTCCAATGATGATGTATACAGCTCCATTCCTATTTAATAATTACTAATAACATTCAACTCAGTTACATTAAACATAATTAGGGCTTAAAAAACATGTGTACTGGTGGGTAAAGCCCCCACCTGCAAAGCTAACATCCTATATGAGTGTAGGTTCCAGTTCTGGCTGCTCCACTTCTGATCCAGCTCCCTGCTAAGGCACCTACGAAAGCAGTGAAAGATGGCCCAAATGTTTGGGTCTGTGCCACCCACATGAGAGACCTGAATGAAGTTCCTGGCTCCAGCCTCCTGGCTTTGGACTTATTCGTCTCCAGCCGTTGTGGCCTCTTGGGGAGTGACCAGCAGATAGAAGATCATCTGCTCTTTCTCTCCTCTCTCGCTTTGTCAAGTACATGAATAAATATTCAAAACTAAATAAATAAAACAAAGCGCAACACACACAAAAAAAATAAAAATAATAATGTGTATTTTTGCCTAAGTCTTAGCCATTAAAAAGATTTATTGTGGGCCCGGTGTGGTGGCCTAGTAGCTAAAGTACATGCCTTGAACGTGCCAGGAGCCCACAGGGGTGTCAGGACCCCATAGGAACACCAGTTCGAATCCCAGCAGCACCACTCCCCATCTTGCTCCCTGCTTGTGGCCAGGGAATGCAGCAGAGGATGGCCCAAAGCATTGGCATTCTACACCCATGTGGTAGACCCAGAAGAGGCTCCTGGTTCCTGGCTTCATATCGGCGCAGCTCTGGCCATTGCAGTCACTTGGGGAGTAAACCATGGGACAGAGGGTCTTCCTCTCTGTCTTTCCTCCTTTCTATATATATCTGACTTTGCAATAAAAATAAAATCTTTAAATAAAAATGATCTATTGTATCACACGTTGTCATGACAGTAAGGTACCAGGAAAGGTGCTAAGTACAGGAGTTGGAAAATCTTTCCTACAAATGGGTCACAGAATATTTTAGATTCATAGAAACTTATGGGTTATACATGTTTCTCTAGCATATTTTTTTTTGTGTTTTAGCAACTCTGAAAAACTGGGGACAACATAGCTCAGCAAGTGAAGCCAGAACCTGTGCTGCCAGCATCCCACATAGGAGCATCAGTTCTGCTGCTGATCCAGCTCGCTGCTAATGTGCCTGGGACAGCAGCAGCAGATGACTCAGATAGGAGCCTTTGCCACCCATGGGCAGATCTGGATTGAGTTCCAGGCTCCAGGCTTCTGCTCGCCTCACACAGATGTGGCACTTGAGGAATGAATGTACAAAATCTCTTTGTCTCTTTCTCTGTTACTCTGCCTTTCAAATAACAGATGAGTACAGCTCTGGTCATTGTGGCAACTCTGCCTTCCAAACAAAATAAATTAAAAAAAATATATGAAGACAAGTCTAGCTCAGACACCTTAGAAAAACAGGCAGAACGGACCCACCATGGTAGCTTAGTGGCTAAAGTTCTCACCTGCATGCTGGGATCACATATGGATGCCAGTTCTAATCCGGGCAGCCACACTTCCCATCCAGCTCCCTGCTTGTGGCCTGGGAAAGTAGTCGAGGACGGCCCAAAGCTTTGGGAGCCTACACCCACATGGGAGTCCTGGAAGAGGCTCTTTCGGATCGGCACATCTCCGGCCGTTGCAGCCACTTGGGGAGTGAATCAATAGATGAAAGATCTTCCTCTCTGTCTCTCCTCCTCTCTGTATATCTGACTTTGCAATAAAAATAAAATAAATCTTAAAAAAATAAATAAAAGAAAAGAAGAAATACAGGCAGAGGCCTATATCTGGTCCACACACTCAGGGTTTGCCAGTGCCTGAAACAAAATACAATAGTCAAAGCAATTCAAACAGTAGGAGGAAGGGTGTATTTTCCTAGATAACTATTGGCAGACAAAGGCTACAAATACACATTACATAGGATACCCTTATTGCAATTAGAGGTAAAGAAAAAATTGTACTAGGTATGCAAATGTCAGAGAAAATGAATGAATTAAAACCAGAATTAAGATTACATACTCCGGTGTATACACTGGTAACCAATAGACTAGTCTTCCACCTAATACGAGGGTCTCAGCCGCAAAGTTTAACAGGTCAAAAAACATATCACTGAGATGGTAACTCAACGAAACAGGAACGTGGCTTTCTGGACTGTACAAAGACAAAATTAAAAAATCAGTAAAGAATTGTAAGATCGTATGAGTTAACTAGAAACATGAGTCTTCTGAAAGTAGTAAAACATTACATCTAAATTCTACTTACCATTTTTCTATTCCCTTTGGTATTTCCTTCTGTGAACCTGTTCTTCTGGTAGATTCTCTGATACCATATGGTGCTGAAGAGAAACAGGTAATATAGATAATCAAAAGTCACCAAATGACCAATGAAGGACAAGTAGACATAATGTGACTCCAAATGAGACATTCTGAAGACACAACATCAACCGTGCATTATTGCAACATGAGAATTTGTGTTTTCAAAAATGTCATTGTCAGAAAAGAAAGACAAAGGCTGGGCAAGTGTTACAAATTAAGGAAGCTGAAAAGATACCCTCACTAAATGAAACACCTGGGTCCTACCCTAGGGTAGGTATAATGGCCATTACTGGATCAATTGACACAACTATAGGATAAAATGTAACTTGAATTATTTCCTAAAATTGATAAAGGGCTCAGGCTCGCTAAGATTGTCTCTGTTCTTTTCTTAGGAAATACACACAGAAGGACAGGAATACAGGGCTACAACATCTGCTACTTAATCAGGAGAAAAAACTATGCATTTTATACACATACGCCAAGTGGAACAGCAAAATGTTAATATAAACTCACCCAACTATCTTAAATTATACTCAATGCCAGCATAGTATCTTAAAAATTTTCCTTTTGTTAGCATAGAAAGCAGCTATGCTACCAAAGAACTCAGGAGGGTTCAGACAGAGGGCTTAACTTCGACACTATTTACAGACTTACTGCCAAATACCAGAAAAAGCAGATCTATTCTTAGCTCAACTGCCTAACAAACCAAAATCTCACGAGGCATGGAAAATAAGTGCTCATGAACATTCCGGAAGCTCAGTGAGTTCACCAGTCCTGTGGCTTACAGCAACTCCGAATTTATTATACCTCTGCAAAGGAAATCTAAGGTTAAAAAAAAAAACCCCTACAAAACATGGAGAAATGTATGATACCTGAAATTTTACAGGACTTCTTTAGGTTTTACCTACCTACCTATCTGAAAAGCAGAGTGAAACCAAGAGGTGGGAAAAGAGCAAGCAACAAAGAGGTAACTTTCATCTGCTAGCTCACTCTGAAAAAACCTGCAGTAGCTGGAGGCTGGGCAGGCTGAAGGCAGGAATCAGGAACTCTAGCTCTCTCCCCTGTGTGTAGTAAGAACTCAAGTACCTGAGGAATCATCTGGTACATTAACAGGAAGTTGGATCTGAAGTAAAGGCAGGACTCAAACTCAGGCGCTACAATACAGGACTTAGGTATCTAAAGCAGCAAGTTGGGCCTGGCATTATAGTCTATTAGCTAAGTCCTTGCTTTGAATGTGCCAACATCCTATTCAAGCACTGGTTCTAATCCTGGCTGCCCTGCTTCCCACCCAACTCCCTGCTTGTGGCCTAGAAAAGCAGTCAAGGATGGTTCAAAGTCTTGGGACCCTGCACCCACATGGGAGACATGGAAGAAGCACCTGGCTCCTGGCTTCAGGCTGGCTAAGCTAGAGCCATTGCGGCCGCTTAGGGAGTGAATCAATGGACGGAAGATCTTTCTCTCTGTCTGTCCTCCTCCCTGTATATCTGACTTTCTAATAATAATAATAAAGCAGGTTAACCCAGTCAACCCAGGTTAACCCATCTTGCCCCACTATTCAAAGAAGTGATCATTGTGAATGACATTTTAGATTCAACTGATACACTAACGAACATTTATAGTTTATTAAAACAAATATAAGCCTCAACAAGCAAGCTAGAAGAGAAAATGGATACCAAGTTCATATATAAGTATATAAAAGAGGATAGCAACATCACACAGTAAAACCTTAACTACAAAATTGGAACCATGTCCAACATTAACAGATTTCTACTTTTTCCTAGGTGATGCTGTTAGGAGGGGGAGGACTACTAGCGCAAATTAGCATTTTGTCCATGTAGTGATAGATGTAAATGACTTTAGGAAACAGAATCTACCCAAATTTTCCATTGAAAAAAAAAAAGCTTACGATCAGTGATGATTGCATCAAAATACGTGCCCTTCCTCCAGGAAGGTTTAGACGCATCTGAAACCAGCACATCAAGGTAGTATTTCTCTAAGCCATACTGACGAAGATTTGCTCTAATGTTTTCATCTGGTCCTCTCCATTTCTGGTTTTTCCTACTAGCCTTTCCTGAAGACAAAGGAAAAGGAAGAAAGTATCAGATAATTCAACATCATTCTTATCTTCTGGAGTTTAACTCAATGTAATGTTTTAACTTATGCTAATCCATGGTTCCCAAATAATTCGTTTTCACATAAAATATTAATGTATGCACATAAATAAAATGTTTTTATTTCAACTTAGTATAAAAGCAGATTTGAACAGTAAAATGTACTGATAGGTAACTGGCCTTATTTCATCACCTTTCAAGTAAAATTGTTTTATACATATTCAGTAGTTTTTTTTACAAAGATGTCTTTATTTGAAAGGCAGGGTTATAGAGATAAAGAGGAAGACACACAGAGATATTTTCTAGACATTACTTCACTCCTCAAATGGCCTGTTTGGTGGAATGAGCACCTCAACAGAAAGACATTTAAGGAACAGTTGAAGGCCAGAATACACTTGATAGAATTCCAAATATAAGCTTAGGATGAATCTGTAAGAATAAGAGACATTTCTGCTAAGTTATATATGTTCATTGCATCCTCTATAGTTACACATACATATCTTTACACCTTTCTGTACTATGCACTGTGATCTACTTCACAATAAAAACAAAAGTTAAAAATGGAAACCATAGCATGACTCAACTACATGAAATGTAGAAGTCACAAAGAGGTGCAGAGAAAAGCAGTTAGGTCACCACAGCAAAAATAAGCACAGGGCCTTCATTAAACTGAGCTGGAAACATCAAGAAAGTCCTACAGATTCAAGCTGTGTAGCAAAGCAAAAGTTTCATGAGAGTCAAAGTTGCCAACTCACAGAAGCCTCATCATGTGATTTTTAACAGAACAGCAGACATGAGAACAGGAATACAATGGGCAGAATAGGTGCTGAGAGATAATGAAGAGTGGACACCAACTAAACATTAGATTCTTGAAAAGGAGGAAGAAATCAGCGGCAGCAAGTGGGCCCATTTAAGACTGGTGGAAATGGTTTTGTATTTTTAAACAGAAGAAACTTGAGACTCCTGCACAAAATAGCAGAGATCAGAGGCAAAGGAAACAGGGAACACACAGCAGTATCTTGGATAAGTACCGAAGAAACTCCACCTCAATCAGAAGTCTATGCCAATAGACCAAAGATTATAGCATAACTTCCTAAATATAACTTTCACAAATAAAAATTCAAATAAATTTTATAGGACAATTTCTTTGAAGCAGAGTCATTGCTTCTCCTAAAAGCAATTGGGGATAATTCTTCTTAGCAGTTTGTCTACTCTAGCATATTGCTCTAACATTCTTGTCAGCATGGTTGTGTAAACTTAATAAAATATAACTCATTTTCCTTCTAGTAACTTCCACTAAGTTTTTATAGCCAGAATAGGAAATAAGGTAGAACATCAGAGCAATACCTCAAATTTCTTCAGCAAAAGAAAATAAAGAATAATAAATTCTCACCTATGCAATAACACAATCAGTGTGGAACAAAAAAAAAAAAAAAGAGTTCTCCAAAGGCCAACTGATCAAGTTACAATAATGAAGAACAACACAAACACAAGCAATCTCAAAGTCATCCATGAATCTTGAAACTCTTCACGCCTTTCAGCCAAAAGAACCTTTTTGCAGTTTGATGCAACTCCATCCACTCACAGGTCACTAGCAAAGCTTTTAGAATTTATCACCTCACAGGCAAAGCAGATACTTGCGTCACGTGCCCCTCAGTGCAAGGCAGAATCTTTCAAGTTACTGTTACCGTTAATGTATTTTAAAGATGTCTTGGCCAGTTATAAAAATTAGAACACACCTATGATATCAGAAACTAGATACGAATGCAGTCTACTCCATGTGATCACTGGATAAATGGTGATAATCCTACATGTAAACTGTTTTATCGACACACACATGCTGGTTTACAAAATGGCTAGTCTTGCCCTTCTGCTTCTTCTCTCCCAACCCTTGAGTTCACAAATGCATAATTTGCTCTTTTTTTTTTAACTCTCTTACTAGGTCTACAAATACTTTTGAGACAGTATCTTTACCTTTTTTTAAAAAAGATTTATTTATTTTTATTCAAAAGTCAAATTTACAGAGAGAAGGAGGAAAGGCAGATAGCAAGATCTTCATGTTCCCCAAGTGGCCACAACGGCTGGAGCTGAGCCAAGCTGAAGCCAGGAGCCTGGAGCTTCTTCTGGGTCTCCCACGCGGGTGCAGGGTCCCAAGGCTTTGGGCCGTCCTCGACTGCTTTCCCAGGCCACAAGCAGGAAGGTGGATGGGAAGTGGAGCGGCTTGGATGCAAACTGGCACCCATGTGGGATTCCAGCGCATGCAAGGCAAGACTTTAGCCATTAAGCTCATATGCTGGACCCAATATCTTTTTCTTATTCACCCCTGCGCTCCCCAAGATCACACTGCACACAGAAGATCATGTCATTAAAAAATAAATAAATAAAAACATATATCCAGAGGGAAAAATGGGAAGTATTGGCATACTCCTCAGTCTAAATTGTGAAATACATAAAATTTGCTATGTTATAAAAAAGCAGACGCACAATACAATATCAAGTATTATTATACCATAATCTTGTATGTGAACATTAAAGTAATGTCACATAAAAATTACTCAAAGGCACATCTGGTATAACAGCAAAGACAATCCGATGTCTAAGATCTCTACTCACCCAAACCATGAACTGTGTTGTAGTCTATGTCAGTCCCACACACATATGCACCAAAATGAGCAGATGCTATCAGGAGGCCACCTGAAATGTCATACAAGTGTCTGTTAACTAGAAAGTCCCAGATTCTTATTTTGTATACTATTCAATTTGATCCGGAGTCTTGCAGCGGCTGCAGGGAGAGTACCATGAAATAACCCGCACTTTCCAATATTCGGCAAGCTTTAGTAATGAAAAAGAAAACCCCTAAGGTTATCCTCATGAAACAAGTCACAAAGCAAGAAACGTATGCATACATTCCTTTCAACAGCATTATTTAGGAAGCACTATCTTTTGTGATGAAAAGTATGTTAAGACATATTCATCATATTTCAAGAGGTCAGCACCGATGCAACTTGTTCCTTTCTTAAAAATGAGAATATAGGGGCAGACATTTGGCATAGCAGCCATGTCACCACTTGGAACATCTGCACCATATCAGAATATCCCGTCGTCTGATTTAATCCAGCTTCCTGTTATCGTGCATCCTGGGAGGATTCAAACACTGGGATCCCTCCCGGACCCTCATTTGGAAAACTCAGATTGAATTCTGGGCTCCTGGTTTCAATCTGGCTTAGCCCTGTCCACTGTGGGTATGTAGAAAGTGAAGGAGCAAACGCAAGATCTCATCAAAATAAAACAAAAACTAGTTCACGTTAAAAATACTGAATGAAAACTTAAGGATTTTTTACATAAATAATCTAAATTTAAATTATATCCTATTTTATATCCTATTTTAATAACTCTGGTAACAAATCTAACTATTACCTCTTGCTTTAAATCATAAATGTAAACATATTTACCGCCATTATCAAGTATACATAAAAACAGTACAACTATTTTTCCTACATAATTAGTGTGAAATCAATGTAAGAACAAATGCGCCAATAAAATTTGACTAAAATAAGGAATGTAACAGAATCAGTTCACAAATGAAGGAAATTACTAAAAATCATGAAAGTAATGAAACTCTAATTTGAAACTTTTAAGAAAAAAACTTCATAACGTTACACAGACTTTTAATGTTTGTACTTCTCATTAAATGTCACTGTTTCAAAATATTCAAAATAAAATACTTGCCAGGCTTGCCTAAACAGCTACACAGTCGAAAGCTCTAGCATCAGTCAAGCTGACCTCAGAAAGCTGTTTTTGGACCTCAGAGCATGCACACAGCTGAAAGAGGCAAAAAGAACTAGGGCTTTCTCCCTTACATTCTTCTGAAACATGTGGAATTAAGATGAGCAATGCCAACCGAGGCTCAAGACTACAAATGAAAGGTGTTCTTCCCATAAGTCCACAAAACACAGTCTGGTAAGGTACTTAAAAACATTTTTTTCACGAAGGCCCAGCGCAGTAGCCTAGTGGCTAAAGTCCTCACCTCACACGCATTGGGATCCCATATGAATGCCAGTTCTAATCCCAGCAGCCCCACTTCCCATCCAGCTTCCTGCTTGTAGCCTGGGAAGGCAGTTGAGGAAAGCCCAAAGCCTTGGGACCCTGCACCCGCGTGGGAGACCCAGAAGAGGCTCTGGACTCCTAGCTTCAGATTGGCTCAGTTCCAGCCATTGCAGCTGCTTGGGAGTGAAATCAATGGATGAAAGATCTTCCTCTCTGTCTTTCCTTCTCTCTGAAAATCTGACTTTCTGATAAAAATAAAATAAATCTTAAAAAAAAATTTTTTTTTCATGAAAATGACTAATTTTTGTATAAGGTGCTTGTGAATCCAAATCCTTGGTTCTCCTAAACTGACTATAAAAGTACTTACAGAGACTTGCAGTAGACGAAGCCCCATGTCTCTCAGAACAGCCCAGGCTTAGGGGAAAGCAGTGCGTGTGAGGACACGGAATACTCAGAAAATCTCTTCACCCAAATCACAAGGAATTGCTTCAATTCTGCCGGCGGAGGCAGATACTCACCTAGAAGAACTAGTTGTCAAAGGGAACAGAAAAGCTTTCCTGTGCTTCCTTAAACAGAACCTGATCCACTGGGATAGAGTGAGTTTTGAGAGGACCCAATTTACAGTACACTGCTGAAAGGAGACGAATAATCTGTTAGACTGCATGACTCCATGCCTTCTATGCTTTCAATTATTTAAGGTAAAATTATAATAAATTAGCCACTGTGAACTGTTCGTTGGGTAATCACTATGTATCACAAAACTACTCTTTAGGTTAGATGGAAGCATTTTTTAAATTTAGTTATATCTCAGGTACCGTTTTTGAGGAATGTTATTTGGTGGAAGAAGGATGCTAAGCCAGAGAGTGAAGTGCTGGAAAAGCACATAACAGCACACTATGTGATCTAGAAACTGACTCAATCTCTCATCACTTAAATATTATCCACTCTAAGATTAGGGTAGCATCTTATAAAGCAAAATATTTTATTCTACAGCGTGAAAACTAATGCTTCACCTTCAGACAGGTAGGAAAGCTTTGCAAATGGAAACGGTTTTGCTGAGAAAAAAAATCAGGAATAAATACTATATGTAAGTTATCCTGTTCTTAAAAAAAATTCTCTCAATCATTTATACTACCCATGTGAGCAAGGACAGAAGCTCTAAAAATAGAAGTCACAGTAAAAATGTGAGACTCAAGAAAATGAGAATTATGAAGAGGTATAGCAACAACGAGAAGCAAAAAATACCATGCAAACAAAGAGAACTACTTTCTCTTTCTACCCTCCCAGAACTAAAATGATCAGTTTCCCAACAGCAGGTGTCTGCATCTATTTGTGTGCAATGACAAAATTCCAGAAGTATCTATAGCCCCTCTCTCCTATGGGGTACCTTCCGACAGATGAGGACAGAAGCACACTGCCACCTCAGCCTTCTCAGTTTGGAGCAGCTGACTCAATTGAAAGCAAGGATGAAAAAGAACGAGAGCCATGTCTGCCAAGTTCTGTGCTATCTATAACAATCCACATATATGTGTGCTAGTTATTTACACTAAACAGGAAATAATGACTATAATTTTAGCCACAATTTCATTGCCTATTGTCATAATTTGACCCACTGTTGCAAATTCTGAATAACTTGGAAATTAAGACAAAGCAAAGACCAGAAACTGAGTTAATGCCCACATTCTTCATCACCATATATTAGTATAATCTCTCATCTTTCACCAGAAAGGCATCACATTTCTTGACAAAGTAATAACCCAGAATTAATAATGATGTTCATGACAGTTCACTGGACACTGTGTCCCAGGAGCTTCCTAGAAATAGCATATTATCACCTCACCTAATCCTCACAAGGTACTTACTAGGACCATTCTGCCAGTGTGGAAACTGAGATGCAAGCAAGTTAAGAACCATGCCCAAAGCCACAGAGTAACTGAGAAAGATTTAAACCTTGTGCTTTTGGTGCTTTTCCTTTGAGTTTGGAACCAAAAGAAGTAAACAAACATTAGCTTACCAAATAGAGAAATAAAACAACAGGTAGGAAGTAAACACATTATACCAGCAAAGCTATATACTCAGGTACAACACTCACTCAGGTGTACAACACTCACACATTCTGTTTTTCAGACACAGGGCTGCACCATGCCAGGAGTTCACTGGATTAATGCATAAACATACCAGAACAGCAGCACCTCCTGCTTACAGAGAGCTGATCCAATGGTATGTATTGCCCTTTTGGACAAATTACAATACAACCTTCAGAAAGTCTAAATAAAATGAGAATTGACATCTTTCCTAAAACACGAAGGAAAGTGAGTTTCTGCAGCTCCCAATGTCATTACCAACAACAGTAGCAAATTTCAAAATAAAAAAGGAAAGGTAATTATTTAGGCAGGAGGAAATTCGCAGGTTCCCGGAGGTTTCTCTACCCTAGTCTATGTACTTGATAAAATCATAACTTACAGGACTCACAGGGTGGCCGCACCTCGAAAACAACACACATTTCCAATTTTGCATCATTAAAATGGAAAAGAAATTAGTTATGCTTGAATTTTATAGTTGTTAACTGGTTCAACACAGTTTGTACAGTCTGAGAATAAAATGATACTCACTTTCTCCCTCATTTCCTTCCCTGGTCTCCCTCCCACCTCCCTTCCCTGCACCTTTCATTTGCATTGCAGTCAAAGGCTTAAACTTTTAAATTTTATCTATTTATTTGAAAGTATCACAGAAAGAGAAAGAGAAAGAGAGAGAGAGAGAGAAAGAGAAGAGAGAGGAGAGAGATCTTCCACTCTCTGGTTCACTACCCAAAGGGCCTCAAGGACAGGAGCTGCAAGCTTCTTCTGAGCTTCAACAGGGACAGTAGGGACCCCAATACTTGGGCCTCCTCCAGTGCGCCTCTCAATCCATTAGCAGGAAACTGGATTGAAAGTGGAATCACCAGGACTAGAACTGAAGCAATTACAGGATTCCAGAGTCTCTGGCAGAGGCCTTGCCAGCCATGCCATAACCCCAGTCTCAGGCTTAAATTTTAAAAAGATAAATTAATAATACTAAAAAGGACAGTGAAAGAAAACACATCATTAAACCCTTTGTGAAAACCTACAGCCACGGAGGGCACAGGCAGCCTCTTTTTTCAATGCTTCAAAAGGGATCTCCCAACCATGAGGCAAAAAGCAAACTGTTCTTAAGAACTGTATCTATCCACAAATTACTGGCTATGAACAATTTCAAAAAAGTATTACAACCAGACAGATATCTTAAAGCTATGCATCACATTATACAAATGTACATTTTTGCATAAAATTTGAAAAGATCTTCTAATTATCCAGTAATTGTTCTATAAGAAATGATCTACTGTAAGGAACTGCAGTAGGACAAACAGGATGTCCTTCTCAAGCCCAAGAAGGTCAGTGCCCCTGCACTGCTCTGAAGTCAACATTTCATAATATATCCAGTCTTATCAAGGGAAGGAAACTACCTAGACTGAAAGCTCTATTTATGCATTGGCCTATGTGTTTTGTATATTTTTTGAATATTTACTCTTATTTGAAAGGAAGATTTTGAACAAAGAGAAAGTCTTTCACCCACTGGTTCACTCCCCAGATATCTACATCAGCCAGAGCACTGAGCTGACCCTAAGCTGGGAGCCAGAACCTTCTTCTGAATCTTCCACACGGGTGCAGGATCCAAAAGACTTGAGCCGTCCTCCATCATTTCCCCATACTGTTGCAGAGAGTTAGATTTGAAGTAGAGCAGCGGGGACACAAACTAGCGTCCATATAGGATGCTGGTGCCACAGGACATCCTGTGTGTCACCTGCTGTGTAACCATTCGGCCCCCTGCTTTATTAGATTAATATATTAGTTAATAAATCACTGTTTTATATTAATGTATATATCTCAAGAAGCTCTCTTATCACAGAAAGCTGTTAAAATTCAAGATCAAAGCTAAGGATTAATAAAGGTACCACATTTGCAAAAAAGATTAACTCACATCATACAGGTGAATAAACTGCACATAGACTATACATAACAGTTGAAGAGTAAACCTACAAGCAGAAGAGAATACAAATGAATTCCTCTAAATTGGGTATAAGGAAATCTTTATTTATTTATGTATTTATTTATTTACCTTTATTTTATTTTTATTGGAAAGGCAAATCAGATTTATAGAAATGGAGATTCAGAAAGATCTTCCATCCACTGGTTCACTCCCCAAATGGCCACAACAAATAAAGCTGAGTTGATCTGAAGCCAGGTGCCTTTTCTGGGTCTCCCACATGAGCGCAGGGTCCCAAGGCTTTGGGTTGTCCTCTACTGCTTTCCCAGGCCACAGGCAGGGAGCTGGATGGAAAGTGGAGCAGCCGGGACACGAACCAGCACCCATACAGGATGCCGGTACATGCAAGGTGAGATCATTTAGCCATTGAGCCATCATGCCAGGGTAAGAAAATTTTTTAAATGGCAAAAAAAGTAATGGCTTTTTTGCTTTTGTAAATCAAAAGATAAATGTCAAGTAAGGAGAAAAATTTTTGTAACACACAGCACAGAGAGAGGGGACTAATCTTTAGCAAAGGAACAGGGCGGAGTCTCCATCGCAGCACAGTATGTTAGCCTCCACTTGTAATGCAAGCATTCTAGATCAGATCTGAGTTCTGGCTGCTCGGCTTCCTACCCAGCTTCTTGCTAACGTGCATGGGAAAGCAGTGACAATGGGGCACTCTAACCATGCAGCCCCTGGCTACCGGCTCCTGGCTTCAGCCTAGTTTAATCCTGACTCTTGTGGCTGTTTGGGGGGTGAACTAGTACATCTCTTCCTCTATCATTCTGTCTTTTGTGCAAATAAAAAATATATATATTTTTTAAAGATTTATTTTTATTATTTTTTTATTGGAAAGGTGGATATACAGAGAGGAGAGACAGAGAGGAAGATCTTCCATCCGATGATTCACTCCCCAAGTGAGCGCAACGGGCCGATACTATGCCGATCCGAAGCCAGGAGCCTCTTCCGGGTCTCCCACGCGGGTGCAGGGTCCCAAGGCTTTGGGCCGTCCTCGACTGCTTTCCCAGGCCACAGGCAGGGAGCTGGAAGGGAAGCGGGGCTGCCGGGATTAGAACCGGCGCCCATATGGGATCCCGGGCGTGCAAGGCGAGGACCTTAACCACTTGCGCCACCGCGCCGGGCCCAAAAAATATTTTTTTAAAGACAGAGCACTAAGAACCCTTTATTAAACCAGGCAAAAGACATGAAAGAAAATTCAAAAAAGATTATAAAAATTTCCCTCAAAGCACAAAGTTACTAGACTGTTTTGTAACAAAATAGAACTGAGGCATAAATTCAAAGAGGTATGTTTAAAATCCAAAAGCTAAACAATATAGTCTACTGGTGCAATTATTAGAGAACAGGGACCCACCTATATTGCTATCCAAAATACATAACAGCATAATGGAGAAGAATTTGGCAGTATCTTACAAAGCCAGATGTATCCTCTTCTGCCCAGAATGCTACTTCTAGGAATTTACCCTAGCTCTGTCTCAACAATATTACAGAGGTTATTCACTACAAGATATCAGAAAGTACCAATGTTCAAATACAAAACTTCAAATAAGTACACTACATGCACCTATGGGACAAACTGAAGAAAGAAAATAAAAACAGTATGCTTCAACTGACAGAAATACAGGTTGAGTAAATGTGTTGATAGTGATAGGAACCCAAATTTCTCACTGTGCAATAAAGTGCGCATAAACATGGAATAGCGACAAGCAAGAAAAAACTCTGTAAGGATACATCAAAACTTTTACTGTTACGTGCAAACCCACAATTTCTAAGATATGCAAAAATATGTATACACACCATATGTAGGAATATTTGTGCATGTATTTACAATCCTTGTAATAAGAGTTTGAGGAACTATTCACCTGGGTAACCAGACAAGAGAAACAGTTCGTGAATAGTTAGCTTTCTGATCTGAATTGAAAAAACAAACAATGTCAACAAATCCCAAGAATCTAGCTAAAAATAACTGAGCATGTGCAAATGTCTAAGAACTAATCTAATGGAAGTGATGGATTTAGATAAGGAACAGTGTTCACAGGGTCATACTGTGTCTCTTCACATATTGTTCAATAACAATAAGGGGTAAAAAGTATCACAGAGTGGGAAAATCAAACACAACCCAGACTGGCTGATCAAAATATTTCCAGTGGGGGTAAAGAGTCACATTGTGATATTCCGCCCTAAGATGTACACAAAATTATTGATGCAGCACTCCACCCAGGAATGTACAATCTACAGATTACCAGTAGAAAACATCAATAAACCACAAATGAAGAGCATGGAGATTGGCTGGTGAGTTAACAGTAATAAACAGAAAACAAGTCATCCATCAGTGACAAATCTTTTGACCCTTGATACTACCTCTTCCTGATCCTAAGGAGTTACACTCCTCAAGCTAGTTTATGGCATAAAGTTGGCTGGCAGATCCTAATGCAGAACTTGAGAGCATGAGTTCTTGAGCTGGACGAGTCAGAACCATCTCACCCTTGCACACTGCAAAAGTTCACATAAGGGTCACTTAAGCTGCCTGTGCAACATCTGTGAGAGGATTTTTTTAAGTCTCCATTTTAGTTGTAAAATATTAGACAGCAGAATTACAGTACATAGCTTGGTTCTTGCCAAACATTAGCTTTATACTAGCACAGATCACAGAACCACAATGGGTTGAGCCAAGACAAACCTAACCATGAGTTCTGTCTGGGAATAGGTAAGATGAAGAAAAGTGCAGCAGAGCAGGAAAATGTCTTCCCAGAATCAAAAGCAAGCTTGATGTTTTCAACTGGCAACAAGTTGGTTGAAGCCTTTCCAATTAAGGAGATACACAACCAGGTCACAGCCCCAGCAGCCAGATTCTAACCCAATGGTAGTCACTGCTCCTATTTTCACATTTCCTAACAAAGATCCACAAACCAAATCGAAGATACAGTTTTTACCCCATCTAAATTTATATTTTTCAGTTTAAGAAGAGGATCTTTGTTATGTTGTCTTTCAGCTATTCCTTCCTGCCAAAAGTTTTCCTATTTAAGTAAATTGGATAGTTTTACCACATTTGTAGAATGCACAGTATTGCAAGGTTTTCTGCTGAAAAAATATTAGATGTTTCCCTTTATTGGTTTGTTTGGAATGAAACACAAAAATTATGTCACCACAGTTTTGAAGTGACAGAACAATGAAATACTGGCTATTCCACAAAGATGTGGTTATCTCTTCAGCCATTATCCAATGACAATTGCAACATTATTCTGTCCAAGAAATCTTTTAGCAGAAACATTAGCACAGCTTTTATTAACATAAATAACCGATCTACAGTAGTTCATAGGTAAAATGAAAATACCTGTTCCAACAAATGGATCAAAGACAATATCATTTTCTTTCACTTTTCCATGATTGGCCATGATGAATGATAACCCAGCATCCATGCTTGTATTTCCAATAAAATGTCTCTTTTTGACACTGTATGATTCAATAAGCTCTCTCTGTCCATCTGCAATCTAGATCAGATTTTTTTTAATTAGGACAACCATACAGAACAAACTTAAGACAATCATTCACAATCAAACCAGTGTCTTGCTGATATGAACTTCTCTTTATATTGTTCTAAACTTGATCTACAAAAATAATGTAATCAAGTAGATATGGACAGATATTTCTGTTTAATGTTTTCCCCACTTACTGTGTCTTTTCAGACAAAAAGTAAGTTAAACTTGAATGTAATTATCACCTTTTTCTGCCCCTAACAGTAGCCTGTTAAGTAAGCCTCGACATACTCACTGTCGGCCTCCAGGCACTCACTGGGCAGAACTGCCTTACAGTGATGTCATTTCTTTGTAAGAGGGAAGTCCTAGAATGGAACTTCAGAAATGAAACCTGCCAACCATCACAGCACTCTGCCTTCCCTCCCATTTATTAAAACAAGCAAACAAAAAACCCAGGTTTTCTGGCAAGTCTTGTTTTAACATGCCTTTCTCCCCTGGTCCTGACATCTAACCAGTCTCTTGCACTTCACAGGAGTCCCTGTTGGGGATGGGAAGAGAGGAAAGGACCACCAATTTTAGTCCACATAATAGCTCTGACGTTTCATCTGCTTTAAAATTCTAAATATAAAGAATCAAACACAAAGGTCAAACTCTTAGTTTTTAAAGGAAACAAACTGAGATAGGTACAAAGAATACTTGCTTACCCATCTACCAAAATAAATATTCTGGGGAGTCTCAGGGATACAGTTTGGATCCAAGCCATAATCCTCCAAAACAGAGAATACATGCTGTGGCTTCTTCAAATCCACTTTTCCTTCAAATGGCAGAAATTCAAGTGCCTTAAAAAAACAATAATGCAAATGTCCTACAGAAATTCACAAGAAAAACCAGCTGATCTAATAACATCTATTTGGAAGTCTGGTATCTGTATTAAATAATGTAAAACATGAAAAGCACTCAGCACAATATGCACAAAGAAAGTACTTAGCACACTGTGCTACATATCATCAATGGCTACACTATAATAATCCTAAAGGGTGGGAAGAAGGGTTATTTTGCTAAATTCACTTACATCTATTCGCTTGATTTTTTCTTCTTGTGTCAATGTTTTATTAAATGTGTGAATCTTTATTTTATAAGTAGAGTCTGAATGTAGAAATGGAATCTAAAATAAAAACAAATAAATTTTTCTAAGTTTAGTTGTTTTCCTACAGAATATGCACATATGCCTACATAAAACCATGTTTCACTACGCACCATCTTCTCCACTGGGTAATTTTTAAGAGAACTGTACAGCTCCTCAGGAGATTTTCCATGACCCCAAAGTTCAAATATAGACCTAGGAAATAAATGATTGGTACTAACCTCAGTAATAAACTTAGTTCATGCAGTAATATGTAACAGCCATCTTACCAGTTCTTTATATCTGCCCCACTAGAAGCACTGACTATGCGCATTTCTGAGCAACAACTGACAAATAAGTGTGTGTATAGATACAGAAGTCTAACACAAGCACACTTAAACTTTACAAGAAAGGAGGAAAATTCAATTCGAATTTTCCTAAGTCTTCATGATTCTATTTATAGTTTTCACTTCATGTATTTGAGACAGAGCTTCCATCCATGATTTACTCCCCAGATGCTCACATTGACTGGGGCCAGACGCAGGAGCCAGGAGTGCAGGCCTTCCAAGTGAGTGGCAAAAGCCCAGTTCTGTGAGTGGTCACTGCTGCTGCCCAAGCTCTACGTCAGGAGCAGGCTGGATTCAAACTGAGGCACTCCGACGTGTGACGCAGGCATCTTAACTCCAGGTTAAACTCAGGTACACCCATCACAATTTTATACAAAAACAAACAATGTAACATACATATATGTACAAAACTACATATATTAGTGAAACAAGCAAAAAGCTGCAGAAAATTCAAATTTCCCATGTCCTCTGCATAACAACAGTGAAAAAGAACCATGCAAAATGTTCCTGTTAACCTATTAAGTGGTAACATTTAGTAACTTATTCAAAATGTTGAGATCTAACAAGATAATACACAAGAGTCTGCTCTACTCTTCCTTCTTTTTGTAGTACGGCCAAATACTTCATGCCAAAAATAAGCTTGTTAAAATTTACGGCTGGGTCTGGCACTATAGCTTAATGGCCAAATCCTAACTCTGCAACTGTTGGGATCCAATATGGGCACCAGTTCATATCCCAGATGCTCCATTTCCCATCTAGCTTCCTGCCTGTGACCTGGGAAAGCAGCAGAGAACGGCCAAAAGCCTTGGGACCGTGTGCCATGTGAAAGAACTGGAAGAAGCTCCTGGCTCCTGACTTCGGATTGGCTCAGCTCTGGCCATGGCGGCCACTGGGGGAGTAAACCAGAGGGCAAAAGTCCTTTCTCCTTGTTTCTCCTTTTCTCTGTGAATCTGCCTTTCCAATAAAAATAAATAAATCATTTTTAAAAAATCATTTTTTAAAAATTTACTGCCATTCCCTATTCCTCCGCAGGAAATTTTGAATTTAAGTTAGTTTTAAATCAGAGCTTATCAAATTTATTTTCATTTTATTACAATAAGATTGCAAATATTATCTTTGAAAAAATAAATGCCTCCTTGCTTTCTAGTAAGTTCACAGGCAGAATACAGTTACGATAGCACGCTTAGTCATCACTTCAGCTACATGAAATACTCAAGGAAAAGGCAACTGACAAAAGTTAAATATTAGGATTAATTTTACTATTAATCAGATATGTATCAGAATAATAATGTACAAACTCTTAGTGTTCAAATTGCTGTTTTATTGTTTAAATTATTTTAGTTATTTGAGAGGCAGAGAAAGAGAGAAAGCTCCCCTTCTAATGGTTTAACCCCTAAACACTCCCAATAGTCAGGTGCCTGAGGCCAGGAGCCATGAATTCATGCTTCATACACCAGGAGCAGAAAATCAACCCTTGAGCCATCACCCACTGCCTCCATGGTCTACGTAAGCAGGAAATCACAGGCAGGAGCTAGAGCCACAAGTCAAAGCCAACCTCTCCAACATGAAGCTTTAGTATTCCAACCACTGCCTTAAATACTAGGCCAAATACCTAGGCTCATGTAGCTATTTTAAACCAAAAATGATATAATTTTCAGATTCAGACGTCACAAATGGCCATTAGGCTAAGTTAAACTAGTAATTATTCAAGCTGTGTTCTTTAAATTATATTTTTATTTTCCAGCTATTTTAATTAATAAACAAGGCTCACTAACAAGCCTCAGTTCAGACTAGATTTAGCATTGTGGGCGACTGCTCAGTAAGATGATGTGAAACAACTATGAGGCCATGCATGGCCAATCCGTAATGCAACAATTACAAAGCATGCCACTAAGCATTGCTAGCCATGTCAACAAAAAGCTTCAAATTGCCATTAAATATGATTTCTAAGTTTTTTAAAAAATGCTTTTAGCAACCTAACAAAATGGAGAAAAAAGGCAACTAAATGACAAACTAAGCTGTTTCATATTTAACATGTTAGTGAAAAAACATGCTCAATTTTCAAAGGAAAGGAATAAAATGTCAATGACAAAATTTACAAATAATCAAAATAAACAATGAAAAATGTGATTATATTCATTTATAACAAGATATGATTGTCAGAATTCCTTTCTCTAATAAATAAAATGTATTTCATGGCAATTCCCACATTTTGTCACTTTATATTTCACCAATCGGTTTATTCAACCATCATATAAGGCACAGATTTAGATGTCTTGGTTATAATTAAGTGTGACATCATCAATCTTATGTAACATCTTAAACTATAATTCTGCTTAACACAGAACTATTTAAAAACAAAACAAAAGTTTTTACATTTCTCCCTCAGACTCTCACGCTGGTTCAGCAGGTATTTTCTCCTCTGTTCTTTCACTGTCCTCCAGTGGAAAAGCCCAGAACTACAAGCTAATCTCAGCGCTTCCTCCATGAAGGCTCCTTTTTTCTTCCAACACCGAAACAACAGTAAGACAAGGCACCCAGGAAATGTGAGGTGTACACGCATGCAGGAGAGCACGGAAAGTTTCTCTTACTTGGCGCACACTGTCCGCTTCATTAAGTTTCTTGCAATATCCTCAGAGGAAATGTTAAGGATCCAAAACGGAGACTGAAAGAAACAATACCCAACATATCTGAGTGGTTACACTGACTAAACTTCAATCAGTTAATATGAACAAATTCTTACTTGCTACCTTCATGTAAGGATACTTGATCTGAATACAACCAAGATAAAAAAACACTCCATTACTTAGGTTTTACAGGTAACATGTTAGGATAATAGAGTACAGTATCAGATCATTTTTATAAGTGACCCTCACAACTGACAACTACCAGTAAATAAAATCCAAGCTTATTCGATTTTAAGGTTAATTTTGCATCTTCCCTTTATGTAGTATGATATTATACAAAGTTTAATCTCAAAACTTCTTATTGTTACTAATCATTCTTATAAGACAATTATTATTATTATTGTTTACTTTCAAGTAATGCCCATACTCCTTAGTTACTAAATGATCTCTCTTCTTCTGGTAGCTGTAGCCACCTGAGGGGCCGGAGAGGGCAGCTTTGAAATAACTCTAATGGAAAGTCAGAGGGGACATTACTAAATTATCATTGACCTTTATTATTTTTATCACACAGTCTAAGGAAAAAAATCTTCTCAGGAGTTTTCCCAAGCCCCTATCAAACACAACATTACAGGTGCTGATGAATCCTTTGCCGGAACTCAACACAACCTAAACAGAACCCGAGTGCAGTCCACAACTCAACTCTCACCCAACTAGCAACACCACCTTCCTGCTTTGCTCTTCTCCTCCACAAGTGAAAGTCACTCAGGAATAAAAGTCCAACACCAGCAAACTTCCATCCTAAATTCTCTTATCTTTCCCTGGACATTCTTACCTTCCTGGTCTTCCTCCTCACATTATCCGTAATACTTTGAGAAAAAATCCAAAGAATTCAAACACGGAAAAAGATCGGCATCTTAATATTACTTGCCTTAAGAAAAACAAAAAGGCAACCTAAATGGATAACTTATGGAAGCAGCAAACAATATTGTACAACTATGTTAGTGATGAATCCTTGGGACCACAAGTGGAAAAAGTACCTCACAAAAACACTAGAGGGCAGAATGCCTAAATTACAACTTGTCAAAAAGGTTTTTGAATGATATTTTTTATTTTCTAAACTTCTTTTGCATACTGATAAAATGCTCACATAAAGCTGACAGACTCACAATTTTACACCACACACAATGTCAAAGTTTAAAAGATTCATGGAGGCCAGCACCATGGTGTGGTAGGCTAAGTCTCTGCCTGCAGTCCCAACATCCCTTATGGGTGCTAGTTCAATGCCTGGTTGCTCCATTTCCTATACTTAAGCTCCATGCTTATGACCTGGGAGAGCAGAAGAGAATAGGTCAAGTCCTTGAGCCCCTGAACCCAAAGACTCGGGAGACCTGCAAGAAGTTCCTGGCTTCTAGCTTCCAACCAGCCCACCTCTGGCCAATCCAGCCACTTGGACCAGCAGATGGAACATCTCTCTCCCATTCGCTCTCGCTCTCTTGCTCTCTCTCTCTTCTTTCTGTAATTCCACTTTTCAAATAAAAGTAAAACAAATCTTAAAATTAAATAAGAAAAGATCCATGATATAAACCTGAAATCCAACCAAATTCTAAATTTGAATCTAAATTCAAAGCTAAATTTGAGCATCCCTAACTCCAAACTCCAGGATCTGAAACATCTAAAATCTCATAGTGCTTACACGACGTTTATGTTGCAAGCAGGCAATTCCATCCCTGACCTTCTGCACGGCTCACAGGCAATAAAGGCGCCCTGAAGCACAGTGTAAAGTTACCCTCAAGCAGTGCACATTAGGTGTATGGGAAACATAAATCAACTTTGTGTCAGACTTAGCTTCAATGTCCAAACTACCTCATTATTTAAATATAGGTATTTCCAAACCACCAAAATCAAAATCTGAAACACTTTGGTCCCAAGCCTTTCATCTGACGGACACTCAATTTCTATACATCACCAAGAGAAGACAATCATTTTTTTCAGTGAAAAGACAAATTTACAAATTATGGCATAATTTTGAATTAAAACGAATGTCATCGGAAGAACAGCCAGGAGCTCAGTCCTCAGAAACAGAAGTACAGTAAACTTCCTTCGGGACTCGGGAGAGGAGCTTTCTCTGGTCCTTACTTAGTTCCAACTTTGAATCTCCACCCTTCCAGCAATGACCATCAGGGTTGCTCTGGAGCACCCCAAAAATTAGATCAGATAGATAGAGACCAATAAGGAAAGCTTAGAACAGACAGGAAACAGTCAGCTTGGACTCACATCTACTTTACTAGATGGGACACAAAGATCAGTTACTCCTCACTAAGGTAGTGAAGATTTCTCTGCACACCCCTCCTAAAACTGTTCTGAGCCTCAATCGTTAACATATGGCTTGTTAGACGTATAAGCCTGTTTGGACTATCCTAAAATTCACCAAGTTCAGTAAAAATCACACTTCAATACTATAAACTGCTAAATATAAACATGAAAACAGACACAAAACAGCTGAAGAGTACCCTATAACCATTTTAAGGTATATAGCACCTGGTTCTGTATAAACCAAAATTGAAATGTCAATGAAGCAGTCACAGGATGTGGTTAAGAACTTGCATTTTCTAACATACTGGTCACTCAATACCATGTCAATTAACTGCATGATGTTATAAATTGTTGTTAAAGTTGTGTAGTGGCTTTTCACTGGAGCGGATAATATTCTGCCAGCTCTACTTTCAGACCAGGGCTGGTTTCCCAATGAAACTGTTGAATTTATCTGGACAATAAGATGCTGGACTCCCTGCATGGTCCATGGCCACAATGAAGGAATCATGACTGGTTATGAACTGCACTACTGTAACAATATGGAGGAATCCAACACGGGGGGAGGGCTTTTTAGAGGGGTTGGGGGAACCCAGAGCCTATGAAACAGTGTCATAAAATGAAATTAAAAAAAAAAATGAAAATAAGTAAACAATAGGAATAAATATAAATTTCCAGCACCACAATTTTCTCAAATCACATTATTCCATTCTTTCTGGACAGAGCAAGTAATCACACAAATACAAATCTAAGATGGCCATTTATTCTCAAACACAAGGTTCTACCTATAAGTGTACCATATTGGGTTTAGTAAAAATCCAACTTACCTTCCCATAAGTTTCCTGACTGCTGGAGAAGTGGCCACCAAAAAGTGAAAGCAAAGACTTTATTTCCTATATTGAAAAGATCACAAAAGGAACACATTTTAACACAAGGAACCCAGCCTACTAGAAAGGCAGACCTAATATGATTTTTTTAAAAAGATTTATTTATTTTTATTGGAAAGGCAGATATTCAGAGAAGAGAGCTAGAGAGGAAGATCTTCCATCTGATGATTCACTCCCCCAAGTGGCCGCAATGGCTGGAGCTGAACCAATCCAAAGCCAGGAACCAGGAGCTTCTTCCGGGTCTCCCACGCGGGTGCAGGGTCCCAAAGCTTTGGGCCGTCCTCGACTGCTTTCCCAGGCCACAAGCAGGGAGCTGGATAGGAAGCAGGGCTGCTGGGATTAGCACCAGCGCCCATATGGGATCCCGGTACGTGCAAGGCAAGGACTTTAATCACTACGCTATCACATCGGGCCATAATATGATTTTAAAAATAAACAGAGTGGGCTGATAAGTTACTTGGGCCATTTACACTTCAACAGATAATTTTAACTCAGAGTCCCCCCCCCCCAAAAAAAAGAATGCTATTGTAACAACACAATCAAGTAATTTCTGAAAAATCCAAGCAACAGGAACATTGTTAAAAGGCTTAATCAGGAATTGCCCCAATTTTCAAAAAGAAAGAAACAATTTCAAATGAACAAATCTGACAATTATTTAAAATGCAATATTTAAAACAATTTTGGGATGTTTGTTAAACTAAGAAACATTACTGTGGATTCATGAAGCACAAGTTAATTTAGTTTCCTTTCTGAAGAGACCTACAGAACTAGAAAGAGAACCAACAAAACAGTTACTTCAAAGACACCATGCATAAAGTATTGCCATCAGTTGAATTAACACATACACATTCTTTAAAGCAATCACCATACTGATAAACACAGAATGACTCTACAAATTCTATGATTTGTGTCACTAATAAAGAATTCCCTTAAATAAAAGCAGCAAGTCAGTAGTCCGTGTGTTGAATGAAGCTTAGTAGAGCTCAGAGCCAGAGAGCCACAGTGCCACTGCCATGATCCTCCTGGTGCACTGCTACACCTGCTGCAAGGTCATGGGCAAGATGTGGGTACCCTAGCTGGAGCCACTGAGGGCCGAGTACCCCGAAGGGGACACCCTGGATGCCCTGGTCCTGAAGCACTACTGCTGCCGGTGCACACTGCTGCCGGTGCACGCTGCTGTTCCATGTGGACCTGATCAAGAAACTGCTCAACTACGCACCCCAAGAGAAGTGACCCTCCCCACCCCCGCCTGGCCCCCTGCTGCCTCCGGTCAGAGCCATCCATGTCCTGCCTGGAGCTCTCCCCGTGGTGGGTAAGGGGACACTGGTTCCCCATGGCCAGTGAGTCCCCTGAGTCACATGCTGCTCAATAAAATATTTGTAGAAACGTGTCTGCCTAACAGTCTTTAAGTGGACTAAGTCAGTGAGTGGAGTCTGCAGAGATTTCATCGTGACTGGAGTGGAAAGACTGGCAGCAATAGAAAACTGCTGAACTATCAAAACCACTTGAGCAGAACCCTTGGAGTATGCCCCACATCAGGAACCCTGGGCTCGTTGGGAAGCTGGGTGTGGCTTCTCCCCTTCTCTCTCACCCACTTTCCTCTAGCCCTTGGCCCTTCGTACCCTAATCAAAGATGTAAAAATTATCAAAAATAAAATGTATACAATTTTTTAAAAGAGAAAAAAAAAATAAAAGCAGCAGACCTTCACTCCAGCATGGAGGACATATAACAGCTGCTGCCACTCTCCTCCCAGCCAGAAGGCAAACTGTAACATCAGGGGCACAGTGGGCCACAAGCATCCTGGGGTCAGAATGTGACCCAAATCGACACCAATGGAGCAGCAGCTAGTTCTATTCTTATCATTGCTCTGCTTATGCAATAAACCACTGTCTCAAAACTTAGTATTTAAAAGGCTGGATTCAGTCTAGTCATACAGACAGACCAAGAATTAGCACAGACTATAAGTAATCAATAAAGGAACAGCTATTTTGCAGTGTGGATAACACACATCTCAATAGATGACATCACGAGTCTTGGGTGTCAGAGTAAGGCTTTTCTGATTTCCCAAATACTAGCTGAGTCACTGTCATGGTTCTAATACACTTTGAAGGAGCCCATCGAAGGTTAGGCCCCAGTGTGGTGGGATCAAGAGGTGGTGAAAGCTTTAAGAACTGGAGCTTCGTGACAAAAAGCTAGAGCTGCCCTCCTCTTGCCCTCCTGGTCTTACCCCAGGATCTCCTGCCCACACACTGCCACTGCCGTGAGGGCATCCATCACCAGGGTCCTCACCAGAGACAAAGCAGGTGCATCCCCGACCCTCCCAGCTTAACTCTCAGCCTGCAAAACTGTGGACTAAGGAAGCCTCTATTCTTTGTAAGTTCCCACAATGGCAAACAGATTCAGTGTTTTTTATATGAGAAATTTAACTCCTTTGACTCCAATTCCCTCATGTAACTTTCTGAGGTGAGAGAAGAACACAGGACCTAGACTATTAGCAAGGGAATGAGGATGATCACGCCTCAGATACACTGACTCCGCAGTCTGGCAGCACACAAGATGGGCAGAGATCTAATACAGTAAAAAAAATATATGAGGTTGAAGTTTCATGGTCTCATGGGATTTGGTGTTCATTCTATAGTAAAGTACACTGGGAAATTAACATTCCATTTACAACACCTGACTAAATCAAGCTGAATCATCCAAACTCATTGATCTGAATACACTGTAATAAACCAGCAATAGTAAGTTAGCCTCCACCTGAGGTGCCAGCATCCCATGTGGGTATCAGTTAATGTCCCAACAGTTCCACTTTTTGTCCAACAGCTCTCCTGGGCCTGTACCAGTCAGGCAAGAGACATGGGCACGTGGGCTTCAGTATAGGGCCCAGTCCCAGCCACTGTATCCAGCTAAAAAGTGATCCATTGGGTGTAAAATAACATCTTCTGTCTCTCCCTATCTCTCTGTAACTCTGTCTTTCTCTCACAAAAAAAAAAAGAAAGAAAAATGTTTTTTTAAAACAAATAAATAAAATAATTCAAATTTCTTATTTGAAAGGAAAACATTAAGAAATTAACTTACCTATTTGGGAAACAGCAAATGTAAGATTTTTATTCATTGGGTAGGGCTGGCGTCATGGCATAGTAGCTTAAGCATCTACCTATGGCACCAGCATCCTACATGGGTGTTGGTGTGTGTCCTGGCTACTCCATTTCCAATCAGTTTCTGCTAATGGCCCAAGTCTGTGGGCCCCCGCATCCATGTGAGACACCCAGGAGACGCTCCTGGCTCCTCATTGGCCCAGCTCTGGCCATGATAACTATGTGGGGAGTGAAGCAGAAAATGAAACTGCTCTATCATACCCACACTCGCTTGCTCTCCCTCTGTCCTTCCCTCTCTATAACTCTGCTTTTCAAATAAAAATAATTTTTTTAAATACTTTTATTCATCTAATGGCAAATACACTTTGCAGTTGAGACTCTTTCTGTAATAAGAAAAACTTATATTGAACACTGGACATGAAAACATGGCAAGATCTGGGATGTCTTGTAGCCACTTTTTCTTCCACTGAGACTGCTTGAGAACTGGCAATAAAACCAAGGTTCTAACCTTTACTTTTAGGGGAAGGCAGCTGCCAAGTGAAACTGGCCCTGATTAATTATCAAAAGTACAACTAGGTGTCTAGCCTAGGGTCTCAAGTTCTTGCCTTGAACGCTCCGGGATCCCAGCAGCCCCACTTCCCGTCCAGCTCCCTGCTTGTGGCCTGGGAAAGCAGTCCAGGATGGCCCAAAGCCTTGGGACCCTGCACCTGCGTGGGAAAGCCAGAAGAGGTTCTGGGCTCCTGGCTTCAGATTGGCTCAGCTCCAGCCATTGCAGCTCCTTGGGGAGTGAAGCAATGGATAAAAGATCTTCCTCTCTGTCTCTCTTCCTCTCCGTATATCTGACTTCCCTTGAAGAATGTCAAACTATGTAGTTAGGAACAAGAGCCAGCTTCCTGCTGAAAACAAACAAACAAGAAATCTAGAAATGCTGGACCTCTACCTTGAAGGCACAGAAACATGACAAGAATTATCTGGCCAAGATCCAGGAGAAGACCAAAATTCCACCAGGACTCCACTTTCTCTCTGTGACACTGACCAATTCCAAAAGCAGCTATGAAGGTAAATAAGCTATCTAGAGCTTACTGGAGCTAGAGAAAAAAAAGGAATACAGTGCCAACTATGACAAGGAAGGCAGCCCGATAACCGCCAGCCAGCCACCATACCCCTGAAGGATGCATGAATCCAACGGAAACAGAGCTTAATACCTGAAAATGAGTTCATTAGACACTGGATGGCCAATGCTCCCATGTGTGCCTAGCTTCTTCCAGAGAAGCACACTCCCCCTGGCCTCAGAGAACCTCCCCAGATGAATTTTAAAATGCCACATCTGGCACGATATTCTAAGTAAGAGGTACACATGGGAAGTCCACAAATGGGAGCGCACAGATGTAAAGAGTAAATACAAGCAACAAAGTCCACAAGCATGTCAGAAATCCAGAGGAACACTGACTATATAAAAATCAACAGATCGTAAGGCAAGGAATGGAATAGCCAAACCAGAGGCCAGGGAGCTCCAGGAGTTATAGGCCAAAGCAGAGAGATGAGGAGACATCATTCAGGAATGGAGGGGAGTCAGTGCCATCTGGAGAGCCAGGGGAAGGTGAGAGAACAAAGCAGGGAACCCCACAATAGTGGATTTCAAATGCCAAGCTCAAAGTTCTATCCTTGGCACAATGAGTATGTGTAACAGGACTCAGCTTTTGCAAGACTAAACAAGCACCAGGATAAATTACTAAGAAGAAACTAAAGGGGAAGAAAAAGGTAAAATGAGCAAGCATTAGGGATATTATCCTGGAGACGTAGCCTAACCATTCCCATCTCACTGCACTGCCTTGCAACATCTGCCCATCCTCCTTGCTCCCTCTGCTTCCATTCCAGGGTCAACCAAGTGCTACTTTTTATCTGATTCTCTGGATTATCTTTCTAAAACATGCACGATACTGTCAATTCTTGTCCAGCCTCTGTGCCCAGTACTGCAGCCTCCCACACCAAGCATATCTCTGTTAGCCTTGCACCTGTATTTGTTTTTCACAGAAGTGGTTTTCAGGACTCTTCACTCACAGGACATCTCCTACATTAAGACCTCATTAAACTGTTTCTCCCTGCACGAAACTCAAAGATGTAATGCTGAATCAATGCCCCAATCTTCCCCCATAACTCCTAAGAACGATGAGTAGAGCATGGCTGAAGAAAATCCCAGCCTCATGGCAGTTACCTCATCTCCCCTTTAGCTGATTTTCAGCATGGCTGTACCACCAATATTCCTCTCTACTCAACAGTTTGTCTTGTCCCCTGGCAATTTTCATTTCTCCATTTACTGTTCCTCTATCTCTGAAAAAAAAAAATCTGGGCTCAATCATTACCTACAATACAGACCCTCAAACACACCGTCTCATGCTGATTTTTCCTTTCTCACCCTGTTTAAGGACAAACATCCCTCATAGGCTTTTAAAGCCATTCTCCCCGACTCCCTAGCCTGGAAGGATATTCAGGATTAACTTCTACATATCTCAGTCCCCCCTTAACCTCAGATCCTTCTCAATTACCTAATCTCTTACTTTCACTTCCGACACTCTAGTTGCACTCTACCCTGGGTTGGCTCACTGGTTCGATCTAGTACCCTGCTTACACCTGGGAAAGCAGTAGATGATGGCCCAGGTATCTGTGTCCCTGCCAACCACTTGGGAGACCTGTATGGACTTCCAAATTCCCAGCTTCGCCCTGGCCCAGCCAGCCATTTGGGAAGTGAGCCAGTGGATGGAAGTGCTATCTATTTCTTTCTTTCTCTCTCTCTCTCACTCACTCTGCCTTTCACATACAAAGTAAACCTTTAAAAAACAATCTAGGGCCCGGCGCGGTGGCGCAAGTGATTAAAAGTCCTCGCCTTGCACGCCCGGGATCCCATATGGGCGCCGGTTCTGATCCCCGCTTCCCTTCCAGCTCCCTGCCTGTGGCCTGGGAAAGCAGTCGAGGACGGCCCAAAGCTTTGGGAACCTGCACCCGTGTGGGAGACCCGGAAGAGGCTCCTGGCTTCGGATCGGCATAGTATCGGCCCATTGCGCTCACTTGGGGAGTGAATCATCGGACGGAAGATCTTCCTCTCTGTCTCTCCTCTCTGTATATCTGCCTTTCCAATGAAAAAATAATAAAAATAAATCTTTAAAAAAAAAAATCTAGCCTGTCTCCCTTGCCTTATTTTCTAGGGATTAGTAAACCCAAGTAACCTAGCTTTCTCCACTAATGTTCTATATAACCGCCATAGCCAAATTCACAAAGCAATTTTCATCTAATTAAAGGTATCTGTAAACACTTCCCTCTTTTCTAACCAAAAACTACATGTATTCAACAATATCTATTGATTCCTGCTTCTTAAAACTTTTCCTGATTTCTTTATTCTGACACTTGCCTGTTTTTTTCACAGCCTCCTCTTTCTTTCCCTTAAAATTCAAAATTCAAAGACACTGAACTCAGTTCATTCAGCATCTCTGGACCCTGAGTTACAACTTCACATGCACAAGATTCCCAGAAATCCACTGCCCACGTGACCACGCTCTGTGCACAGGCTCACGTCCACTGCCCCTCATCATGTCCGCTCAACACACACGCACAAACTATAAACACCTGTGCTCCCCATCCTCAGCGCTCACGTACCATATCCACCCACAATCCAGCCGTGATGATCTTTTTCTGCCACAGAACATTTTTTGTGATGAATTGTATACATCTGGGTCCATCGCCCCAAAGCCCTTGTGGGGATTAACCTACAGGAGGCCAGGTTGGCTCCTAGCTCCTTTTCCACCCCGGGAAGAAGTGCCCATGAGTGCTTGCAGGTGGGTGTGGGGTTTCAGCTGCAGGGCTTGAGGAGGGCAGGGAGGCTGATTGGAGGAGGGATGGAGCCACAGGACCCCAAGGACCTGAAAAGCTGGGTTGGTGGGTCAGGGTCTTGACATCCAGACAGGTGCCTGCTTGTGTGGGTATCCACTATGCCAGCTATGGATGACTTTAGGGTCTCCGACATCCGAGAGGATCTCCTGCTCAGGCTCGTCCAGCTCCTCTGCTGGGCCGTAGCTATACACCGGGAGCAGGTAGTGAAGCTGATCCACCCGTTTCCTCTTTTGGATGGACATACATGGCCACTGCCATCACCACTCTGACCAGGTAATGAGGAAGAAGGGGCCCAGCACATAACCACTAAGGAGCCACTGCAGGCCTGAGGAGCACTGGGTGCTGTTGTGTTCTCATGGTATGGTCAGGTCGAAGGCCTGGTGGTCCACAAGGGCAGTGGGGCTGCGGGAGGGTGCAGCCCTGGTGCTCTTACCTCCCATTACTCTCCCAGTCCATTCTCTTACTGCTTGCCCAAGGTCAACTTTTAATCCAACAAGACAATACCAGCACACCCGTAGCTACTCTCTCAGTTCCAGGTCTTCTCCCTCTCAAATCGGCTCTCCTTGCTGCTTCAAATTAATTTCAAAAAATCAGATTCTGCATTGGTTTTCCCTAATCCATGATAGCTATCACACAGGGGTCCAAACCCCTGTAACATATACGAGCAGCACGGACTCGCTGGGTTTTGACTATTGCTTACAGCTTTTGTCTACACTCCTGAGGAATTGCACGTTTTTCAATTTTTTTGATTTATTTCATTTTCTATATGCCACGTGTTGATACCTTTCCTAATGGAGTATTAAGCCTGCGACTGGGAAGAGAAGTGAAAGTTTCCATTGTAAACATTAGAAAAAGAAAAGAAAAAAAAGAGGAGGGTAGGAGAGGAATGCCAGCAGGAGGCAGAGGGGAAAGTATGACTACGCTCCTAAATTAGTATTGTGAAATGAGTGAAATATGTTCACTGCATTTTATAAACAATTTTTTAAAAATATGGTCGGTTCTCTCCTCAGACCTCCTCAATAAGTTCCACTTCCAACCTCCAGTATATTCAATGTTTTGCCTTGCTGACCCCTTCTCTAAGTCCCCACCTCTCTCCTTTATCACTCTGTCAGTAACACCAGCAGCGTGCACTGCTAACTCGCTGATTTCTCTCCAAGGCCCTGCTGACACTACATCCTTTAGCTCTCGTGCCATGCTCTCTCGGAGCCCAGAAAGAGGCCAGCATCCGAAGCTCAGGTAGATTCCACTGTCCTCCTTTCTGCGCTCACATATCCCAGTCTCCTTCCTTGCGCTTACTCAAGGCACTTACTGTATAACCCGAAGCCCTTAGCCTCAACAGTCAACTGCTGGAGGCTCGGACTGTCCTAGCTATAGTGGGGACCGGCACGTTCTCTTGGAAGGACTAAAACTCGCTGTCCCACCTCTCCCTCCTCTGTGGAGCCCCTCCACCGAGCTCGCGCCACACACAGCGACACCTGAAACAAGACCGGGACGGACGCCCTTGGGCTCAGCCAGATGAAGGGGAGGACTCCCACCTGCACCTGCCGCTCACCGGCCTCGGTGTGCGTGCAGAGAAAGGCATGGCGTGCGCAGCAAGGTCCCCGGGGTGGATTCCACACTCCTATCACACTCCTCTGCCCACTGTCTCAAGCTTCCTCCGCTGCCCAAGGACTGAGGGCGCGTGGTCCGCCCCCCACCTGGAGGCAAGCCCTAAGCCTTTGCAGCTCGCCTCCGCTCTCACCCCAACCCGCACCGTGCAGTCGGCCGGTAGGAAACTGCAAAGCGCGTTGAGCACTCACAGGAAGGCGAAACTCCAGGTGCTCCTGCGCCAACAGCAGAAGATACTTGTTCAGGTTGCAGGACAGCGCCATTTCAGCCGCCACAGTGCGCCTGCGCGCCTCGCGCGAAGTCCCACCCCCTAACTCCCTTGGGAGAACCGAGTTTCCTCTAAGGCGGAGCCTGCAGACCGGAAACGGAAGTAGAATGAGGCTGGCCGCGTCCCGTAGATTCTCGTTCCGGGCGTCGCAGGTTGCACCGACGCCGGAGTGGCGGCTGTGAGGGCTGCTGCACATCTTGGTTGCCAGAAGTAGGTATAAAATGAAAGGTCTCAGCCACAGAGAGCGCCTGTGACAGATCTGTAGACAAATGAGAGGGTGCTGTGGCGTCCCGTGTGCGCGGCGGTTCGAGTCCCTGCTGCCCCGCTTCCGATCCAGCGCCCTGCCCATGGTTTGGCCCCTTCGCGCTCGTGGAAGACTTCGTGGCATCCTGGAAAGTGAACCAGTCGAGGAAAGATCTCTGTCCCTCACTGATTAATATTTCTCTCTCTCTTTTTTTTAATGGGGATTTTCTCTTCCCAAGTATTACTAGTAAAATGTACAGTTAGTGAAAGAAAAGAGGGGAAGACGACTTCTGGACAGTTTGGGAAATAGCGTTTTCTTGGAGCAAGTTCTGTAGGATTTGGAAAGTTCACAGGGAAGCATTCTTAAAGCAGTTGACATTTAGTGTAGTTCTGAAGTCTCCAGGGCGGTCTTATATAAGCATAATTCATAAAGAGAAATTGCACTGGCTGTTCTGTGTAAACAGGACACAAGAAGTCGGAATGCTCAGGCAACAGATCAGACTTAAGCAGCTGGAATTGATTTACGAGTGACCAAGCGCCTTGGGAATAGATTTCGGCTAAGTGTGATCTCCAATCCTGGAGCAGAGGACCAACCTGAAGCCCCAGATGCTACAAATGAAGCAGGTTCCACGCATAGAAAAATTAGGCTGAGGCTTCAACCTTCCCCCCTGGTGCTAATGCTGTTGCTATACAAATACGGTACTTAAAGGTGCTTTGCCTGATGGAGCAAGTGAGTGAGTTTGCAGAAGGCAGCCTAGACTAGAGTCTGCCAAGATTCCTTCTCTGGGCCAGTCTTGGTTCTCTATTTTGCCATACATCCAAAAGTTTGCACTCTTACTTAACTCCATGCCAAACAGGACCTCGCAACACCCTCAGCCACACTGCTCTAGGCTTTGCGGCTCAGCTATTTTCATCTTTGAATGGGACCCTATTTTTTACTTTCCTTAGGTAGATCTTGGGAGTCAGGGGCAAAATAAGATGATAGCACATTTGCCTCATTTGAACCAGATTTTTAACCCTCCAAACTCCTAAGCAAGTGATTTGCAAACATCACACATTCTCAAAACGCAGCTTGCCTTTTAATGCCTGTAAAAGCGCAGTTCCCAGCACTCCCCACATCTTGATCCTATTTGCTTCTAAGAAGGCAAGTTCTACACAGTAAAAACTTCAGTAGCAAAATTGCCCTCTGACCTCCTGTCCTTTACTTTCTCCCTGTAAGGCAAGCCGCAGACAGTACAATTTCTCTTGCCCAAGACACATTAAACAAATGGGAACACCTTTACCCAAAGGCAAGCCCATAACGGCAAAACCAAAAATAAAATGCTACTCCAGCCTTTTGCTGCCTTTCTGCTTGGAGTCACCTTTGAGGTCAAATTATAAGATACCCTCACACACAATCTGAAGGAATTCTGTACCTTACCTTAGAGGAAAAAATATGGTGCAGAGAAGCTAAGAAAGCCCAATAGATTTTGTTTGGATTCTCCAATCTATTGTTCTTAAATAGCACCTTTGTCCAATAAGGCTTCTTCAGAACTATCCATGCCTAAGCAGAGAAATGGATAGTTCACCCTGGGTTGTTGAATCTTCCCTCAGTAAATTCTTACATTATGGAAGTTCATGGTTAAATAAATGTCTTCTATTAATCTACAAATTGTCTGTTCATCTCAGCAAACCGTTGGAAGGCAAAGGGAAGGATTTTCTTTCACTCCTGTTACAGTACAGTCTCAGTTCCCCTAAGAGTGATTTTCTTGAGCATACACTTTAACAGGGCACAAAGGAGAGCGTTAATTCTGTAGGGCCCCGTTTCTCACACTGGCAGCACATTGCAGTTTCTTAAGGGTTTTTGTTGTTGCTGTTTCTAAAGACTGAGTCCTGCGATCTATCCCTAAAGAGCTAAATTTTTCTTGTATTGCCTGAACATTAAGTTTAAGAGCTCCCCAGTTGCCATTTTTTTAACATGAAGCCATACTTAAGAATCCCTCGGGGCAGTTCTCAAAGTGTGATCCTGAGAGGCAAAATTAATGTCTATCACCTGGAAACCATTTAGAAATGAAAAATCATGCCCTATTCCCCAAAGCCCGCTGAATCAGAAATTCTGGGGGTGGGGTCCTACTGTTTGTTTTAAAGAAGTCTGCCAAGTGATTCTGAAGCACACTAAAAATAAATTCCTATTAGGGGTTGGGCTGATGGCCTTGGAGGCGACCCAGGGACCACAGATAGATGTCATGTTTTGTCATCACCTTTGCCCACCTGTGGGGAATCTGGGATTAGTTCGCAAGTGTTTCTCTCAGGTGAAACTGTGACAAGAATATTCCCCTGTGACAAGCTAGATTGAGAATTAATCTTGAGAGAATCTCCTTAATGGAGAAAATATCTAGAATAAGCCTGCTTGAGTTATATGGATGTTTCCTGTGAGCTACACTTGCTGGCTAGAATCAAGGCCTCAGTGAAAGTTAAACTAAGTCTAGTGAGAAAAGAAATGTGTTCCAACAATAAGGAAAGCAGAGGGAAGGAGCAATATGGCAGAAGCTCTGTGTGCTTTCCCACGGTTGTATCCACTTGGTCTAGTTCATGGGTGAACAAATGGGGAACTCAAAGAGGTTTCACACTTTAAGTTATACTGGTCACGAAGACTGCCATGAAATACCTAATGTGAGGAAAATCCAGCTAATATGTAGACCTTCAGAATGAAAGTCATCTGAAATTGGGGTCTTGATCAGGCATTAGTTTATTATGGAAATATTTTAAACAGTCAAGTCTTAAAATACAGCATTTAACAAACAGTAATATAAATCAGTCTCTGGGCTAAGCTAATGGGGGTACACAGATAAATTTTAAAACAGATTCCCCCATCTCCAAAGAGATTAAAACTCCTGGCAAGTAATAGTTCTTGGTATCTTGTCTCAATTATATATAAGTTCTATGCTAGGAGAAGAAGCAAAATACCATGAACCAAAGTTGAAGAAACTAGACTTGCTACAGTTGGCAATGGGAGGTATCAGGGAAGCCTTCACAAAGAAAGTAACATCTCAGTTGGGCTTGAAGGGTAAACATTTTCAAACTTGTGTTTGGATTAGTAGTAAAATTGCTAGCACACTGAGTATAAGTGGAACAAATAGAGTTAAACTAGCTGTTGGAGTGTGTTGCCAGCAAATGGTGAGGTTTTCTGATGCAAGTCAATTGCATGGCCAATTCAGTAATTCACTCAGTAATTTAGAGAAGACTGATGGAGACTGGGTTACAGAAAGAACAACTGCAGGCTGAGAGCCCAGCAATGAGATTCTAGCAACAGGCAGGAAATGAGCATAAGCAGCAAGGCAGAGGGTTGGGGCTTTGAGAAGCAGGTTCCTTTAAGATGACGCCTTGATGCCAAAACTTTGCGTCTAATGGTAAAGTGTTCAGGAACTGCAAACCTGAGGGAACATTCTGGCACATGTGTTTGTGTTTATGTATATGTACATGTGTTGGGAACAGACTGTAGTGTGTGAAAACAAAAGCAGTGAGCTAGAAAACAATCACAATAATCTCACTGATAACAGCCTGGAGTGGTCAGACTCCTAGCACATTGTAAGGTATTGCTTACAGTATTTACCAATAAGCTGAGAATGGATAAGAAAAGTGAGCTGATGTCACTTATTTTATAGGTTTAGAAAATACAATATTTATGTTAATTATATTTGGTTTAGGTATTGGTTTAATTATTGCATGATTATGGATCCATCTCTGCGACCTTAAATAATCATCTGGTGAGGGCTTGCTTGTCTTTGTTGGTAAAATTGGACATTTTCATTAAGTAGATATAAATGGATCAAGTCCTTGTTATTTATTTGTATTCTTAGAAAAACTGACTCACAGGCAGTTAAATTAACATGTATCAGCTTCATTTTAGTGACTGTGTACTTGTTCTGAGTACATGCTAAGAAAATAATGCGAGTTGTAGGAATCAACTTTGTTGATGACTTTTGACATGAAAATCTACATTTATGAGTGTTAACATAATCAAAACAGGGTTTTTTTAATACAAGGACGACACATCTACCTCTCAAACAGTGCACCTTTCATACATATGGTAAACAATTTATCATGCACTCTTCATTTTCATCCGTTCTTAGTATTGTCTGAAGAGACTAGCAGGACAGGAAGTGGGTACAGTGACGAAGATGCCACTTGAGACACCCAGTTCCATAACAGAGTGCCTGGCTTCACATCCAGCTGCTTCCAGTTCCACAATGCCAGCTTCCTGCTAATGTCATCCTGGGAAGCAGAAGTGATCATTCAGATAGTTGAGAACTCCCAAATCTGTGCGAGACCCAAACTGAGATTCTGGCTTGTGGCTCTAGCATGGCCCAGCCTCGACAGCTTCAGGCATTTGGGGAATGAACCAGTAAATGGAAGATCTTTCTCTTTCTACCTTTCCAATAAAATGAAAATAAATAACTGAAAAAAAAAAAAAGAATCAAGAGAGGCAATACTTGACACAGTATTTTTTCCATCTTTATTTAGATTTCTTCTAGGTCAGTACATACTCTCTGAAATAATTCATTATAATTTTCTTACAGTTCCATAACTAATATCACAACATGCATAAATAGTGCCCTCAGTACTCCATGAAACTTTTCTAAGACAGGTTTTGAATAAGTTTGGATTAATGTTATAGACAGTGAGGGAATAACCAAACACTTGGATTACTGAAGAGACTAAGTGATTTTTAATTGTAGTAATTTGGTTAGGAGTCTTCATATGAGAAGACAGACCTCTACTAATTATGTAAGTTTCCCAGGACTTTACAACCAAGAAGAACTGCTCTCGTGAGAAGATATAAGCCAATATATTTTAATCAATCAGTTGATCCATTTTTAAGAGATTCCTTAAACAGCTTGTTATTATAATTACATTGTGATATATAATTAATTATAACAAGTTCATACAGTAAAACACACAGATACTGCCTATGTTGAAATTTGCTTTTCTGAAGCTGGTCATATTTTAAGTGATTTCTAGAAATTTGTAAGTTTTTGTTGGTGCTCAGTGAACTATTTCATAAAGCTTACCGAAAAACCTATAAATCTAACTTTGATACTCTGTATCACTATCTCTGATTTCCTCTCAACCTCCGATGAACAAACTCAAATTGGGACATCCATGTCAACCGCAAAGTAAATAACAGTGGAAGCCGAGCTCGAGGCACCCAGGGCAACGTCACGTGGGCTTCTCAGCCTGCACTGACCCTGCACACACCACTGAGTTGGGTCTTGAATGCTCACATTTACTTTCCACTTTAGTGACATTACAGCCCTTAGCAATCTAAACTTAACCCACTGATTTTTGTCCCCTTTATCAGCAGTTAAAAGTAGATGGTCCTTCTCATGACTTTATTTTCTGATTTTGGTATCAGGTACATGTTAAATGCTCAATTAGTATTTGATGAATAATTAATTCAGTCAACCAACTAAATAATATAGATGTCAGATATTATTACCAAGCATTAAATGTATTTCATCTCACATAAAGTGATTTTTAATAGAAAGTTAAATACAATGAGCAGTCTTAACCTTTTTCTGGCAATGCTTTCGATCCTATTTTCATTTATGTTCACTAGCACAATGTAGGACCTGCTCTGCATTTCCATTAACTGCTGTAACTGTAGATTGGCACCAAAAGACAAATCAAGCATGCCTCATGAAATATCAACATTAACATCATGTCATTAAAATAAAATGTCTCATCAAGCACATATATCTACTTCCAAATCTGTTATTTTTCATGATAAATTAGAATAAAAAGCTAGCTATTTTTATTCCAATTTTATTTTGTTACCAAAAAAATTCCGATAAGCAACAGCTTTAACACAATTTTTCCAGCTTTAACACAATAATAGAATAACTTCATATTTCTTTCTCCTTTATTATGTTCTTACAAGTAAAACTCCATTACACTGAATTCTTTTTGCCAGATTGATTGCAGATTTCTGTTAGAAATTGTATAACTTAAGTTCCCATTTAGTCATGGTTTCATTTGCCCCAGTCATCGAAGATCCAAAAATATCACATAAGAAATTCCAGAAATAAACAATTCATAACCTTAAAATTGTGTGCTGAGCTAAGCAACACAATTAAATCTTCGGCCACCCCCTGACACTCTGCCTGGAAGGCTCTGTGCAGTGTATCCACACTGTATGTGCTACCTGTTTATTCATCACACAATCTCATTTAACAGATCAGCTGTCACCTGTCACAGCACTAATGTTCCAGTTGCCTTTGTCTTACTCGATAACAGCCCCAAAGGCAAACCACAATATTTCCACATTGTATCATTATAATTATTCTGCTTTATTATTAACTATTGGTCATTTCTTTCTGAGAACAAATTAGACTTTATCATATATATGTGCAGCTTCAGTGATTCACAGCTTTCCAGTTCCAGTTCCAGGTCTTCCACTGGTAATCTTGAATGTATACCCCATAAGTAAGGCAGGACTGCTGAATATGCATCAGATAGCTTTCAGAACTAGTTTATCAAAGATAGTAAGTTTTAGGAAGTAAACGCACCTGAAGCATGAGTAAAAAGTGGCTCAGATAACAGTTTTCATCAGTACAATCAGAGAATCTTATGTAGAATTAAATTCTTTATTTTGAAAATTTGTCAAGAAATTACCAATTTCTATCTTTCATAGTAATAAAATTCCAATAAATTATAAGTTTTTGTTAGAAATAAATCACCCACTGCAGCTGACTCATAAGAAATGAAAAATATTTGAACAATTTAAAAAACAATTTTTGCTTAAATGAACCTGCTTCAAATTGGAGTTTAACTGTAGCATGTAACACATAAAATCCTTAGTCAACATTACAACAAAGAAGTCAGCGACCAAGTAGTCATATAACTGTGTCACAGATATCAAGAAACATAATCAGTCAAGATTTACGGTGACTCAGTGCCACTCATAAAACCCGACAAACCTTACAATTGCAATTAGTCTTCCGCAGCCAGAATATTAGTTCATACTGAGCCAAGAGTTAGAACATCTTCACTGTGGAACTTGTTATGTTCTTAACTTTTCAATCAAAGAATCAGCCTGCAATGAAAAAATTAATAGCTCTAGATAAAATAGCCTGTATTAAATAGTTTTCCTAGAATTTTATAATAATAAGCCACCAAAGATAGTTATTATTTTCCTGAAATTATCTTACAAAAAATCTGAATATACTAGTTTTATAAACAATAGTACAGGTATATTGTATAAAATAAGCAGAATGTTACCTACTTGGTATTTTCATTAAACTTTTTCAATAAGAAACAAATACTAAGAGTTTTTAAAAGTAACATCGGTATATAGAAGATTTATCTTCATAGCAGTAAATGGGGGAAAAAAAGCCAATCTGAAATATTTACTGTGCAAGTCCAACTATATAACATTGTGTAAAAAGCAGAACTTTGGAGACGTCAGAAAGATCAGTGGTTCCCAGGTGGTAGAGGGAAGGGAGGCATGACAGGATGAGCTCAGAGGGTTTTCTGGACAGAGAAACTGCATGCTACTGTAACAGGAGGTACAGGCTGTTGTACAGGTCACACCATAGCTGTGTAACACTCACAGTGGACTGTGAGCTGTGAGTAGTAACAATGTATCCAGGTGGAGTTACTATAACAACTGTTCCACTGTGCAGGATGTGACAGTGCAAAAAAGGTGTTTTGTGGGGTCAGAGTTATGTGGAAATTCTATATTTTCCACATAATTTTGATATGAATCTTAATCTCTGTAGCAAGTTTTATTTTATAAAGTAAACTGAAGTTGCTGAGTTACATCATTTCAGAGACTCTTTCTCAATCATCCATTATAATCTGAAACATGATATATAAGCGACTTTAGAATTTCTTCTATATGTTATTGTTGACCTTTTTCAGTGTCTCAAAATGTACATTGATCAGTCCCACATTGAAGAGGAGTTCAAATTCCCAGGTGGAATCATTAAGAAATCTTAGAATTTTACTTATTCATGATTTTCAACTCTGAGAGCTCTAAATGCCCAGAAAATAAAAATAAAATGGACAAATGTTTTAATGTGTTTATATACCAGGTATAAAATGAATACTTACTGTAATAAACCAATAGGAATTAACTCTATAAACCAGCTTTGATAAGAAGCCAAACTGACTGACCGGTGCCAGAACATGGAGGTGCAAGTGAGAAATGGAACAGAATGGTGGCATATGGAATCCCATCCTAAAACAGAAAAATAAAAGATGATTGGCATACAAATGCTAAAGTAATTTAAAATTACTGTCCAGATTAAAGCACACAAATACTTGAGGCATCCAAAAGAGGCAACCCTAGGTGGGCAGATTAGCACCCATGTTTCACTTTAGAGTATGCACTCAGTTCCTGTTATGTTGAAATACATGGTTGCATCTACGGCCATACTACCCTGAACACGCCCGATATCATCTAAAATACATGGTTGGAAGTCTAGTTGGGCTGACTGAGGCCAAGCATGTCTGTATCAACAACCAAAGCCTATAAATATCTGCTCAAGCTAGGAGTGAGTGGGAGTGTGCGAAGAAGGTAAGGGGAGGTGCTATCCTACAGCAGCCCTCTGAGACCAACACTGCAGAGTCAGCCTCGCAGTACATCCTGCCTCCAGTTCCCGGATGAAGAGACTAGTTGCCAGAATGAGCTCAGTGGTTAATTCATTTTAAAGATGAAAAGCCAAGGTCCGAAATTTAAGACTTTCACTGGTCACAGAGTAGTAAAACTTGGAATAAAACTCTTGACTCCATGATGAGTGCTCATGCTAACAAGTATTCCTATGATTGTGAAGCGAGTGTGCAGCTTCGGGCAAAGATTCTTAGATTCCTTCAATTCCCTGTCATCACATGTGGATGACACTTCACAATTTCACAAGATTTTCACACACATGAAGTCAAGCTCTCATTTGAGTGTGCGAGTAGGCATGGCAGGCATTACCTTGGACGTTAAATGACAAAGCAACACAGCTAGCCTTAATCACAGTACACAATATTAGCATTCAGGTCTGTTTTGAATTCTGGTTAGTATGTGTTAAAAGGGTGGCCAGCAGTGTTGTGCAGTGGGTTAAGCTTACAGCACTGGCGTCCCACAGCAGAGCACTGGTTGGAGTCCTACTTGCTCCACTTCTGATCTAGTTTCCTGCTAATGGGCCTACAGGAAATAGTGCAAGATGGCATGTGTATTTGGGTTCTTGTCACTCATTTGGAGGCCAAATAGCTTTGGCCTGGCCTACAGTGAGCCAGTGGATGGAAGATTTTTTTCTCTTGCTCACTTTTGTTCTTTCTGTCTCCCTCTCCCCCTCCCTCCTCCTTGGTCTATGTGACTCTGCCTAGCAAATAAATAAATCACCACCCCAAAAAAGAACTTTTCAACATAATCTTCACTATAGCTACCTTGGTGCCTTGATACTGCTTGGGTCACACAAAGCAAAATTAGAAATTTTTAAAGAAGGAATCTATCACTTGGATTAATTAAAACAGTTCACAAATTTAACATTATATAACCTTGTTCAAACGTTGGTCCATGCCAGAGTTCACTTCAGCAGGCAGGCAATGAAGTCAAGCTAATTTTATGCTAGAAGTAGAACAGTGTGTAGTTCACACACAGATTTATTTAAGAAAATTCACTTACATGGCTTTGTAGACATGCATACATTGAGCAAAGAAAAAGCAGACTTGCTACCTCCCCTCCATTGCTTCAATCAATGTGTATGCTAAATGTGTAAGTGAAGATTTTTGGAAAATGTGAAACAGGAGAGGAAGACATTTCATTAAATTTATACTACCAATGAGTTATTTTCTCACTTTCAGGAAAACCACACTTAAAACCATGTGCTGCCTCTGCTTCCATTTTGCCATGAAGAAATACCACTTCAGAAAACATTGCCTTCTATCTGAAAGTATACCTACCTCACATCTGTGAAGTCCGTGAAATTATTCCTTTCAAGAATGGCTTTTCCAACAGCTACCATGCTCTCAACTATGAAAAGGAAAGAAATATTATGCAAGAGAAAACATAAAATTCACTACATTAAGTTAATTGGTAGAGTTCTGGCCAATAGTCTTACCAAATGGGTAAACATTTAAAGGTACATCAATAACTTTCAACTAACAATTGAAATGAAAGTTCACATTAAGCCCGAGTGCAACATAACCCCCACAAATACTACACGGAATCTGACTTTGGATAGCTACCGAGTGAGAAAATAGCCATCACACTGTGTCAGATATGAATCACATGGAGACCAAATAATTAAACAGAAATTGTCTACATCAAGAAAAGAACATGCTCATTGTAGCACTATTCCTACTAGCCAAGATATGCAATCAACTTTAGCGCCTGTCAATGCATGAATGGGTAAGAAATTATGGAGTGTTTGTGTGTACGTATGTATAAATATATAGATATGCAGATGTGGTATTTAAAAATTCAACTCATGGAAGCAGAGAATACAAAATGGTTATCAAAGATTTAGATTGAAGGGTGCAAAATTTCAGTTACGAAGAAGGAATAAATTCCAGAGATTACTGTACAACATGGTGACTATTAGTAACAACGTATCCGCTGTATTCTGGGAAAATCACGAACAGACTTGAAGTGTTCCTGCCCCCGCCACACACACACAGGGATCAAAGTAAGGCACATATTGATCAGCTCAGTCTAGTCACCTCACAGATATCCATGTTGCAAAACAACAGATTGTGTCAATCTAACTTTTTTTAAGAAAAGTTGGGAAAAAATGTTAATGTGTCTTAAAGGCTAAATTAGAGATACCCTGTCATTTAAGTCAGACCAGCCTTTACTAGCCAGACATTTCCATAATGCCTTTGGTTACAAAGTGTAGCTACCTAATCACCTTTCTTCCCTTACTGCTTTTTGGCCTGCAAAGGGGAAGAAGCCTCATCATTAGAACACTCTAACAACTGGCATCCTGAAAGCACACGGCCAAACTCAAGGATTCTTCATTCAAAAGGCAGGGAGACAGAGGAAGAGGGAAGGGAAAAAAAGGAAAGAAAGGAGGGAGCGATGAATCTTCCATCTGCTGGTTCACTCCCAAATGCTTTCAACAGCCAGGGCTAGGCCAGGCCAAAACAAGGAATTTGTTCCATCTGGGTCTCCCAAGTCCTGTAGGTGTGATGGACTCAAGTGCTTGGGCCACCGTCCGTTAGCTGGAAGGTGGATCAGAAATGCAGCAGCTAGGACATGAATCAGCTCATCAAACTAGATGCCAGGGTGACAAGCAGTTCCTTAACCCACTGTGCCACAATATTGGCCCCAAGATTGTATCTTTTTCTTTAAAATATTGTCAAGATTCTATGTAGGTGAGAAATTATATGAGTGCTTAAGAAATAATTTAACAGGGCCCGGTGGCGTGGCCTAGCGGCTAAAGTCTTCGCCTTGAACGCACCAGGATCCCATATGGGCACCGGTTCTAATCCTGGCAGCCCCACTTCCCATCCAGCTCCCTGCTTGTGGCCTGGGAAAGCAGTTGAGGACGGCCCAAAGCTTTGGGACCTTGCACCCATGTGGGATACCCGGAAGAAATTCCTGGATCCTAGCTTCGGATCTGCGCAGTACCGGCCGTTGTGCTCACCTGGGGAGTGAATCATCGGACGGAAGATCTTCCTCTCTGTCTCTCCTCCTCCATGTATATCTGACTTTCCAATAACTAAATAAATTAAAAAAAATAATTTAACAGGTAGCAGATTATATTCATATTTAATATATGCAAAAACAATTATAAAAGTGTTACCAAATTTCTTACATAGAAAATCTACATGAACTTACATGAGATTAACTTTAAATAGGCTGTGATTATTAAAGATGTGGACTAATATATCCCCAGAGTACCCACCAAAGAAAAGATAAGACTAGCAAAAAAAAAAAAAGTAACAGATAAAGTGAAATACAAAAAAATACATTTGTGGGGCTGGCACTGTGGTGTAGTAAGCTAAGCCACTGCATGCGGCACTGGCATCCCTTATAGGAGCCAGTTCATGTCCCAGCTGCTCCACGTGGCCTGGGAAAACAGTGAAGGATAGTTCAAGCCTTCAGACCCTGTACTCCCATGGAAAACTTACAAAAAGCTCCTGGATCTTGGCTTCAGATTGATCAAACTATGGGTATTGTGGCCACTGGGATCCCATATGGATGCCAGTTCATATCCCAACTGCTCCACTTCCCATTCAACTCCCTGCTTCTGGCCTAGGAAAGCAGCACATGACCCAAGGCCTTGGGACCCTCCACACATGTGGGAAGCCTAGGGCAGACTCCTGGCTCCTGGCTTCGGATCAGCTCAGCTCCCACCATTGTGGCCACTTGGAGAGTGAAGCAGCAGATGGATGATCTTTCTCCTCTACTCTATAAATCTGCCTTTCCAATAAAATTAATCTTAAAAAAAAAAAATCATCTGTATTCCCCAGCTGGATTTCAAAAAAGAAAGATACTTTAAAACATTTCAAGATATATCAGTGAAAGAAATACTGAACATGAGTGTCATAGTGCTTTTGTTTAGAAAATTTAATAATTAAGCCAAATCACTGTTAATATGCCCTAATTTTCTACAAAATACAAAGAATTGCAACTGGAATATGTAACTATGTCAATATGTTTTGGAGGGCTGAATGTCTAACAATTACTTATGCAGTTAGCAAAATATGGACCACGGAGCCAAAGAAAAATGCTAAGAAAGAATGAATAAAGCAACGCAAAAATATATTTCTGCCCTTATAAATTTATATATAAATATCATTTATTTGAATATAAAGACAAAATAAAGACACCTGAGACAAATAGAACAATAAGAAATTTGGAGTAACTAATGTTACACAGAACTAAAGTATTTTTAGGGACAAAGAGGGATGCTTTATAATAAATAAAAATTGCCAATTTATTGAGAAGACATGACCAATATAACTGGAAATACACGTAAAATCAGAACAATAAATGAATTAAAATCTATCTTCTCTATTTGATTGTTATATAGTCCTTACTTCTACCTTTTTTGTGCGTATTTTACATTAATTTCCTCAACATTTTCTAGTATCTTAAAACTAAAGTCACAGGGTTTAAACTTCCTTTTCCATTTAAGAGCACTTAAAGCTATAAATCTCCCTGATCATATTACTTTAGATCATTTTTACATTATGTTTTTGTTACCATTCCAAAATATTTTCCTTTTTATTATTTATTTATTTATTTGGAAGTCAGAGCCACAAATAAAGGCAGAGACAGATATCTTGATCAGTTGGCTCACTGCCCAGTTAGCAGCATCTCCAAGGCTGGGCCAGCTGAAGCCAGGAGCTTCACACCACTTTCCCACATGGATGACAGGAGCCCAAGTACTTTTACCATCTTCCACTATGTTTCCCAGGCCATTAGCAGGGAGCTGGATCAGAAGTGGAGCAGCCAGGACATGAACCAGAGATCCTAACACGGCAAGTGGAGGCTTCACCTAATGCCACAATCCTAGCCCCTCAAAATATTTTCTTCTTCATTTATTTAGGAATTAGTTGAAAGGTATGAATTTTAAAACATTTAAAATTTTATTTTCTAATTTAACATCATCTTCAGAGAACATAATAAGTGCCAGTCATTTGAAATGTGTTTCATTTTATTGTTGAGAATATGGTCTACCTTGGGGAATATTTACTCTCAAAAAATGTATAAATTCTGCAGTTAGGAGAATTCTAGGAATGTTTATAGTCACTGGATTTGATAGTATTATTGAGTTCCTCCAAATGCAGGTAATTCCTCTAAACTCAGATTACATAAAAATTGACTGCAACAAGACAAACATTTAGTATATAAATATAAAAATATAAAGAGGCTTATGTTCACCTTTAAAAGTTCTACCAGGGGTGGGCCAGCAATGTTAGGGTTCTGTCTATAGCAATGGCATCTGACATGGGCAGGGATTCATGTCCTGGCTGCTCCACATCCACTCCAGCTCCCTGCTAACCCACCTGACAAAGCAGCGAAAGATACACCTATATACTGGCCCCTGAACCCACATGGCTGCTGGCTTCGGCCCTGCCCACCCTCAGACAGTATGGCCATCTGGGGAGTGAACCAGCAGATTGAAGATCTCTCTCTCTCTCTCTGTGTAACTTTTCAAATTTTTTAAAGATTAAAAAAATTATTTCTAATTATATTTCTAATTCATTAGAATTATATTACTAATCCATTTTGTTTATATGAAGTGAACACATTTTATGTATTTCACAATACACATTTAGGAGCACAGTGATACATTTTTCAGAAAAAAAAATAAATAAAAATCCACCATAATTTCCCAATTGTGTAGGCTACCTTAAAGCACTGACCAAATTACTCCCAGACAGTGGTGACAAAGGCTGTCAGAGGCTGCGTGAAGCAGAGTCATGAAGAATACTGCCATCATCTTACCCAACTCTACGTGATCTTTCTTCAGCTCCTTACAATTTCCAAGATGCTTCTTTGGCACCACAAGATAATGATGAGGCGCTGCTGGCCTGATATCTCTGAAGCAAACGAGGTCCTTGTTCTAAAGGGAAACACATTCGTGTGTGAGTGAATTAAAAATAATTAATGCTATGTTAGCATTACCCATCCCACCCATCTCAACCTGCTAAGGGAAATGGTTCTGATCTCAAAACAAGGCCCTATTGGGCAGCTGCGTACACACAAGCGTTCGCTTCTTTCATGAGATATTCGGTCATTCCACAGAGCTACATACATCATTTCAGGAAAACTACTGTGAACAACTTCCATTAAAATTTCATTACCAGCAATCCCAAAGGACTTTTTCATTTCTCCATCCTCAATCTAAGCTGATGTTTTTCCACTCTTACAACATGCTTTTCAAGGTTTGACCACAGAATCACAGCAATACTGTACCCTTTTTGCATGTATTTTCTTCCAAGTGGCATTATTTTTCATTATAAGATATAATCTAGCATCTATAGACTCAGGGTTTATATATTTTTTTAAGTTCTTTAAAGCAACTATATATAAATTATTTCTAATTTTTTTACCACTTAGCATTTTTTAAAACTCTGAAATGCTCAAACTCTAATTTATGCACATGTCCAATCCGTTACACAAAGGACATCTATATCCTGGCTTACATGATTCCATACAGTAATGTGCAGGAAAATGAAGACAGCGGTGCTTAAATACTTGAATGAGCATTTCAGTTTTGAATCTCAAAAGAAAAACTGATTCTAAGTGATATATTCAGTATATTATACTAAAAGTATAAAGTTAAAACAGAAGCCAGTGTTATGGTGCTGTGGGTCAAGCTGTCCTTTGCAATACCAGCATCCCATTATCAGAGTGCAGGATTGAGTCCCAGCTGTTCTACTTCCTACCCACCTCCCTACTAATGCACCTGCGAAGGCAGCAGATGGTGGCCACATATTGAGTTCCTACGATCCACTTGGGAGACTGAGATGAAGTTCCTGGCTCCTGGTTTGGCCTGTCCAAGATCTGGCTTTTGTGGCCATTTAGGAAGTGAACAAATAGATGGAAAATTCCTCCTGGTAGAGAATATGTCTTGATCAGGATTAGCTGGAGCTACATAGTTGAATTCTGCCTCCAAATGGAATGAATGCAACTTTATATTAAAGAAGTCAGTCTCAAGGATAACAGGGGGAAAGTTCCTAAAAATCTGCTGCCTTGGGCCTGGCACTGTAGCCTAGAGGCTAAATCCTCTCCCTGCATCCACCAGGAGTCCAAATGTGCACTGATTCCTATCACGACGGCCACACTTCCCATCCAGTTCCCTGCTTGTGGTCTGGGAAGGCAGTCGGGATCAGCCGAGGACCTTGGGAACTTGCACCTACACGGGAGACCCAGGGGAGGATGCAGCCACCTGGCTTCAGATCGGCTTGGCTCCAGCCATTGCTGCTGCTTGGGGAGTGAATCGGTGGAGAGAGGATCTTCCTCTCTGCCTCTCCTCTGTCTGTGTGTCTGACTTTCCTATAAAAATAAATTTTAAAAAAATTTAAAGGAATGAAGTACATTTCTCTATATACTTTTTTTGAGGCACAGAAACTCTTTATTGCCACAGCAAGCAAGTGCAACTCGTCCCACCTCACCAACAACTTTAAGTCATAAAAATGCAGATTTCACACAATAAAATATAACTCAATTTGGTAAGAAATGGTCTCCTGGACTATACCGGCTGTGATACTGAGGTAACCAATTGACCTTGTTCAGTGAATTCACCTCTAACACAATGGAAAAATCAACTAGTTATAACATCCAATTCATATATCCAATTCAAATAAAAATATATATCATTTGCTTTAATGTGTAGCAAGTTTAATACATTAGTGTTTATAAAATAAAAAATCTATTCTACTGAAATTCTTCTTGTGCTTCTTCCTTATCGCATGGCTTGAAACACAAGAAAAGTATGGTACTTAAGGAAACCTATTTATGGATTTCAAGATGCAGCTTGTGGGTCCCTAAAAGATGGATAAATATTAGCCGGAAGACAATTGCATCTTCAAAAATTGTTACTTATTAAATCTACAAACTTGAATTGAGACACAATTAAAAGAAAAAACTACATTCCTTCCATGATATATTCCTAAGTACCAAGCAAATTAGCAAGGAACAGGAGAGTGGTGAATCCATCTTTTGTGTAGGAGCAGGAACACAGACATACCCAAGTGTATTTACACACAATGAAAGGATAAGCCAAGCATGATTCTCAAAACTTCTTGTGGAGGAAGAGACACCAAGTATACTCTGCTTTACAGATTCAATTATGAAAATGTACATAGATAGACTCATGTTTGAACTTAGAAAAAAGGATCACTCAACATTAAAACAAACTGAAGCAATGTCATATCAGAAGAGTAACAACCCAAAGAAAAGAATGATTTCAAGTGACTTTAAAACACAGAATTTTGACTATCCATTCCTGGTGACATTCACCAATGATGTGCAACCACTGTTCTCAGTATAGACCCCAGGAAGGCCTGGCCAGTGGGAGCACGCCACGCCACGCCACACCATGCCACGCCACACCACACTCAGCCAGGGAGTCGAACACAGAGGAAGCCTGCAGGACGAGGCCACACATGTATCGGCCTCCTGACAGAACAGCAGCGCATCTTGGGTATTCAGACACCTTCCACTGACAGGCACGCATTTCCCATTTTGTTCCTCAAGCTCTTCTCATTGCCACCCTCACCGGGAACCTGCTTAGTTTCTTTTTTTTTTTTTTCTTCTTCTTCTTCTAGTTATCTCTTTCCCATGACATTTTGCACAGATACGTGGTCCACTGTCCATGTCCTATACAGTGATTACATTTCTTAAGCATAAAAAAGTAAACACAGTCACTGTGTGGACAAATCAAAACATCAAACACACAAATTAAATAAAGTGACTAATTCACTTTTAACCTGATTAATCTTTAACATGTGTCTCTCATCTTCAGCCAAGAAGAAAGCTGAGACACGAGTTTGAACCACCCCGTCCTCTCCCTGTTAAACATTTTTAGACAAGCTCTCCACAACCATTAATGCCTATTTCCTACTATTTTGTTTCTTAGAATGGTGAATGCAGAAAATTTAATTTAAAAGCAGTGTCTATGAATCTAACAAATACTTGACTCTGCAAAATTTTAAGTCAGATTTGACACCTCTAAATCCTGATTTTAGATTTAGTAAAATGGGGCCTGAATGAAGAGGCAAGGCCAGGCCCCTGGGGCCACAGATCAGGGCCCAGCGGCCAGCTCCGCCCACACACGACAAGCAGACTCAGTCCTCCACCTGTGACAGCTCCTGAACTCCACGTTCTCCCCTCAGCACAGATTCCAGCCTATTACTAAAGTCACTCTTACTGTAAATTCTTGAATTACAATGAAGACAGAATCCCTGCATGTTAGTGACACCCACACAGCAAGACCCAACCCTGGGTCAACACAACCATCTGCCTTGTCTGGACCCCGACTTATGTCTGTCTCACCACTATGCGGCCCTTAAAGAAAATCCCTGGGAGCAAGCGCTGTGGCAGAGTAGGTGAAGCTGTGGCCTGTTACACCAGCATCCCACATGAGCACCAGTTCACATCCTGGCTGCTCCATTTCCAGTATATTCCCTGCTTATGCACCTAAACAATGGAAGATCACCCATGCGCTTGTGCCCATGCCACCCACAAGGAGACAGGGCTAGGGCTCCTGCTTCGGCCTTGCCCAGCCTGGCTGCTGCCGTCACCTTCCCTTCCAACCAAATAAAATATTTGCTTACTTTGAGGAAAGAGACAGAGAGAGGGAGGCAGAAATCACAAATCTGCTGCCTCCTGCCTGAGCTTTCTCAACTAGCTAGTGCTAGGCCCAGACACAAGCCAGATGCCAGAAGCTTCAGGTAGGCCTCTCGCATGGGTGCCATGCACCAGCAGGTGCTGCAGCCTGGCCCGGCCTCCTCCCAGCTTCAGCCCCTGCATGTGTCAGGTGGGTTCCTGTCAGTTGAGTTCTATGGCCCAGCTTGTCTCGGCCTCTCACAACTCCCAGCCCTCCCGTGCAAACCAGTGGGTGCTGCTGCTCTGCTTCTGACCGAGCTCCCTGCTAACCTGCCTGGGAAGGCGGCAGGCGAGGGATCAAATCCTTGAGCTTTTGCTACCCACAAAGGAGACCAGACTGAAGTTCCAGAGCCCCGGTCTCACGCAGAGCACTGCAGCAATTTATGGAGAGAACCAGTGGATGGAAAATCTGTGTCCCTCTCGCTGTAACTCTGCCTTTCAAATCAATCAATCAATAAATCGTTTTAAAAAGAAGAGAGAGAGAAAATATCCTGAACTCCATCTGACCCTCCTCCCTGCCCCGCCACCCCTGTTTGCCCAGCCCCTCTCCTGGCCTCTGGAGCAGTTTTGTCTAGCTTTCCACATCCAAACAGCTATACAGTCCTTCCTCTGCATCCTTTAAGGCTGTGCCCAATTCTCCTTACTGCCTTGCTTGCTAGATCTAGGCTCCAGGAGGCCAGAGGTTGTGGCACAGCGGGCTTTTCTGCCGTCTGCCGAAGCCTCCACTAGTACTGGCACATGGATGTGCAAACACCGAGTGAGCCCATGAGCTTCCTTCTTTCCAGCGAAAAAGCTGGACGTGAACTAGATTTATTTATTTGAAAGAGTGACAGAGAAAGAGAAGACAGGGAGATCTTCCATCTGCTGGTTCACTCCAAGTGCCCACCACAACCCAGGCTGAGCGGAGCTAATGCCAGGAGCCAGGAGTGCTCCCGAGAGGGCTGCAGAAGCTCCAGCACCCGCTCCTCGCAGGAACACTAGCAGGATGCTGGAGCAGCCAGGACGGAAACTGCCCTTCTGCCATGAGCAGCCGCTTCCCCAGCAGTCCCTGCCTGCCTGAGTCCTGCGCCCCTCCCCTGAGGGCCTCCTCCCCTCCCCTGAGGGCCTCCTCCCCTGAGGGCCTCCTCCCCTCCCCTGAGGGCCTCCGCCCCTCCCCTGAGGGCCTCCTGCCCTCGGGACTCCATCACACCACATCTCTTACACCCTGCAGTGTTTGGAAGGGCATTCCCCTGACGCCAGAGTCCTGGCGAGTTGTCTCCATGGGCTGTTCCACTCCTTGGGCCACGGGTCCGTCTCAGGCACCGGAACCACCTGTGCTCACCACCACACCGCAACTGCTCTCCTCAAGGTCCACCGCCATCACCTTGGGGACAAAACCCGTCCTGATCTCACATGGCCTGTCCACAAGCACGTACAAGGTCATCCCACCCAGCTTTGGGGGTTAGAGCTCTAGACAACTCCAACTCCGTTCATCTTGGCGCAAGTTTTGTTTTTTCTTCCCTTTGCAGGTCCTCCTCCCTTGCGCGCCTTTGGCACGGCAGTGTTTGAGCGCTCTGTGCATCCCCCCTTCCACGTCCCACTCCACAGCCTCAAGCGATTCCTATCTTGCCCAGTTCCCTCTGTAAACTCAGTTGCCGTCATCTGCACAGGAGATGCTGATCTCACCGCGGAGAGCCAGACTACGCGCCCAGTTCATCCACTTGCTTCAGCTAGCTCAGTCTCAGAAGGACCAGCGCCGGCTCCTCCGTCGCTGCTTCCCACCCCTGGCCACCAGGGCACAGCCCGAGGTCCCAATCTTAATGACCAGATGCCACCACTCTCAACAGACTCTCGCCAGAGCTCAGCTCCCACCTGTCCCCATCTCCATTCTCCCCACTCTTCGTCAGGGCTCTGACCCCAGCACTTGTACCGCTGGGGCGGGTAAGCCCGTCGTGGGAGGCTGTCCTGTGCGCGGGACAGTGACAGAAACCCTAGACACCCCTCATTCGGGGCCAGTCGCTCCCCAGCTCCCCCGCACACACCCAGTTTCCATCAGAAGTACGTCTTTGTCACGGATTCACTCCAAAAAGTTGTTTCTTTCGGGAAGAAAAATAGAACCAGTAAAATCCAGCACGTACTAGCTTATCTGTTTTAAAGCACTCGGGCAAAGTCCCGGGGCTCTGAACCGTCCCCGGTCCCTACTGCCAACATTTCAGCAGACCGCAGGGCTGATGAAGCAACACCTGGACCTCAGACCCACACAGGGCCAGTCTGACAGCTCCTCACACGTTCCAGGATTTGTTTTGTAATAGTATTCACGACAGTCATCAAAACCCGTACGGGGCGGGGATTCGTGCGGCCGACGCAGAGGCCCCCGGGGGCTGGCTGTGGCCAGGGCCCCTCGCCCCCGGCTCGTCCGGCGAGGCCCAGCAGCGGGGGCCGCGCGCCTGTCCGCCTCGCCCGGCCCGCAGACGGCTCTGCAGACCCGGCCAGGCCCGAGCCAAGTCGGCCCCGGCCGCGAGCGCCGCCCACCTCGCAGTGCAGCAGCTCCGTGTTCGCGTCCTGCTGCGCGGCGATGCGACAAAACACGCACTTGCTGTCGTAGTCCTTGGGTGCCTTCGTGGAAGACACTTGAGGTTCCGCCGTGGCCGCCGCCTCACACTCGGGAGTTGGCTCCATCCCGCTGCCGCCCGGCTGCTCGGCTGCTCGGCTGCCAAAGCGCCGCGCCCGACCGAGGACAGTTTCTCGGCCTACGCAGGTCCCGCCTCCAGCACCTCCTCGCTTTCACCACGAGGGAGCGCCCCTCGCCTGGAAATGGACGCACGGCATGTTCCATTTCCAAATGGACGCACCATGTCAGCCAACGGGTGGTGGGGCCTTGACTCCGGGAGCCACTAGGTGGCGAACGAGGGCATGTCTTAGGGTTCGCTGGCCGCGAATCTGCCTCGTTGGTTAATGACGCAAGACGTACGCTGAGATAAGGCAGAGCGTAGTGACGTCACTGGGGTACCGAGCTTAGAGCGTTGAGTATTCCGAACTCCCTGTCTTCCCTCCCACCACATTTTAATTATTTTACAGTGTGACTTTTTTTTTTTAATAAATAGGTTTTAAGACAGTGACTAATTTATAGAGGCATGTTTCAGCGTAGATCACATTTGGTACTTCCTGTATGCATTTTCAATCACAATAATTAGCGTAAACTCAAGACGTCCAAAACTTGAATTTGACATCTCTGTTTACATTTTATTATTGTTGAAGGTATCTGCTAAATCAGAATTGAGGCCTTAGGGCAGGTGTTTACCCAGACCCCAGTCCAGAACTGAGAGGCCCAAGAAAGCAGGTGCCTACTGCCCACGTGGGCATCCGGACTGAATGCCCAGCCTTGGTCCCTGCGGACATTTTAGGACAGAATTTGCAGATAGGAGAGCTTATGTGTGTGTTTGTGTCCCTCTTTGCTTCCCTCTCTCCCCACCCCCCGATTTGCATACTGTCAAAGAAAGCGCAGAAAGTCGCCTGGCAGTGCTCATAGCCAAGCAGAGTGGCTTCCTGTTGATCACTGAAATATTTCAGAAATGTGCTGCCAGTGTGCCCTGGTGCCTCACCGTGCCCAGTGCCATAACCCGTATGCTACTTGTTTTCTTGACACAAACAGAAAGAGACTTTCCTGTTGCTGCACAGCTAACTGCTAATGAGAGAATTAAGATAAAGCTTTTTCTGTTCCCAGAACCTAAGCCTTTGTAAAATAGAACTCCCTTTCTTCCCCTTTTATTTTTTATTCTTTTATACTCCGATCTTTTTTATTCTTTTATATATATTCTTTATATATATAAAGAATATTCTTTTATTCTTTTTATATATATTTTTATATATATTCTTTTTTTATTCTTTTATACTCCAAGCTGATGTGCTAATTTACGTTTTCCACCAACTCTGGGAGCTGAAACCTGCACAGACTTTGCAATCTTGCTTAGGTGCTGCCTTTGTAGGAGCCTTAGCAGCAGCCATTGCTGCCTTTTTAGACAACCGTGTAGCCTTTAGGGCCTCCTTGGCAGTGCTGATAGCTTGTTCTGGTTGAGCCTTCCTAACTTCAGGCTTCTGATTTCTCTTGGCCATGATATCAGCAAGAGATGCACCAGTGATGGCTCTCTGGAATTTGACTGCACGACGAGTGCTTTTCTTTTGAATTTCTTCTGACTGCCCCTTTTTATGTTTCCTTCAGTAGAGGACAGTCCAATTTATCTGCCGCAGATTCCTCTTGGAAAGAAACGCACACTCGCATTTTGCGTTAAGAAACTGGAAAACCTTCCCATTGGTCCCAGCGTAGCGTCTCCCGTGTCCGGGATAGATCTTGTACCCACTGAAACTGCAGAATTCAACCTTCATGGCGGCGGCTCCTGTTGAAATTTTATTTGAAAGGAGTTGAGAAACAGATACCGTCCATGCACGGTTTCACATCCCAAGCGACCGTAACTGCTGCGGCTGCGCCAACCAGCAGCAAGGAGCCTGTGAATCGACCCAGGTCTCCTCCTTTGAAGGGAATAAAAAAAGCTTGAGAGAGAAAAAGACAGAATCTTCCATCCACTTCTTCACTCCACCTAATGGCTGCAGGGGCCAAAGCTGGACCAGGTGGGAGCCAGGAGCTTCTTCCAGGAAACCCACATGGGTGCAGGCCATTAAGAGGGATTTATATCAGAGTAGAGCAGGTGGGACACAAACCAATCCCCAGTTGGGATACTGGTATCACTGGGGGCAGTTTTGTCTGCCATACCACACCTGACAAACTTTAGTTTCTACAATAACATGCCTTGTGACGTCCTGGTTGGCTTTTCCTCATTCTCCTTTGCCTGTCCTGTTGGTTGACTTTGGTCCTAGGTTCTCTTGAGTTGCACTCTTCTGATGATCTCACGTAGTCCATATATTTGCCAGTGAATTCCAAATGAAAATGTGTAGGGTAGAATTCTTTCCTGAAACGATGAGGGCTCGTCCTTGATTGCCCTGCCATAAGTTGCTACTATTTCTCAGTTGAAAATAAACCTGTTCTGTTAACTATTTAGGACAAACTTGAAATTATACCGGACGCTGCTTTTCACCCCTCATGCCCAGTTACTCAGGAGACTCTGAAAAGTGCACCCAGCGTCAGATGGTATCCCCAATAAGCCACCATTGTCCCCTATACGAATGTTTCAATAGCCCTCTACTTGAACTCTCACGTTTAAGCCCACCCTCCAAGCCCATATTACTGTTTGGTCTCAACACAGCACCTAGAAAACCAACATAATAAAGTTCCTCATGTTGCTGGGCTTCCCAAGAGCAGGCATGTGATGGGGTGGAGCGGGGTGGGGCTCGTTGGGTCGTCCCAGGGACCTGACCATATACTGTGAGAAGCCATGCTGGAATTCAGCTCCGCTACAGATGTTTATGTACCAAGAGTTTCTGCAGTTCTCAAGTCTTGGTTACCATGCTACACTCTGAGGGTCCTTGCATCCTGTCCTCTCACCCCTGTCCCCCATCATTCCCCCTTTACCTTGCTGTATTCTTTCCACCCTCTATGTGTGTCAATGTGGGTATTTAGTATTTGGTAGTAATGTGTATTTCAGTACTACAAATTTAATCAACTTTGGTCATTAGCATCTGCTTCATCCCCATGGAATGGAATATCAGCAGGAATTTTCATTTTTGTGTCTTTTTTTTTTTTCACGAATGTGTCACCAAGGACTGTATATTGAAACTTAGGTTCAGAGAACAGTCCAGGGCAGCCCCAACATTTTTAGTCTAAAAACTGCAAGGCTGAAGCTGTCGCTCACCTTGGGGGAAGAGCAAGTAACTAGGGAAAGTCAGGTATTTGGATCTGGGTTCATTTGAGATATTATTTTCATCTGTTTAGGCTAAGCTTACTAATAGCAATTCCAAAATTGGCAATACTTTGAAGCAATAAGGTTTATTTCTTGTGCCCATCTGTGTCCATTATAGGTCAGCTGTGGCTCTGTGGACATGTCTCATGACCTAGATAGAACAGAAGCCACTGTCTGGATTGTCTGTGGTGTCGGGACAGAGGGAGGAGAGAACACAGCGGAGCACATGGCAGGTCTTAAGCCATCTTCTCAGCAATGACTCATTCGTGTCACTGGCTTGGTAAAGCAAGTCACATGACTTACCCTAGCATCAGCAGAATAGTGTAGATGGAATCCTAGCAGTGGGAACGGCAGCAGATACTGTGAACAATAAAGCAGTGTGTTGAATTTGAAGCATCGGGGACATTGGCAGTTGGACATTTGAGCTTGAAGGTCAAGAAAGAAGTCTATGCTGGAGATTTCAATCTTAGATTCCTCCGCATACAGAATGTAACCCTTCATGATGTTACAGGAGATCTCCAGAGGAGCAAGTAGATATAGGGAAAAAGGTTCCAAGGCATTTTGAAATTAGAGAACTGGGAAATGTTCAAGCGTGACAGAAAGAGCACAGGGTGCTCAGACACTTCTACCAGCAGTGTCCTGGAGGCGAGACAGCTTGTTTCCAGTAGGAGGCAGTGATCTGTGAAAGCTGCTGGCAAGCTGGCCAGGAGAGGGCTGGGAGTGGCGGCCACTGGAAAAGCCAGTGAAGCAGCTCTGGTGTTGGGGCTGCAGAGAAAGCCTGATCCAGCTGGCTTTCCAATAGGTTGATAGTAAAGGGATTTAAAGCAGCAAATAGAAACAGATCACACATTATTCATGGAAAAAAAATGAAACAACGAGGATCAGAGAGCATGAGCTCCACTGGAACAGACCAAGAGTAGGCGACAGAATGACAGAGCAGAGGGACTGTTACCAAGTATCGCTCAGGTTCACCTACTTAAAAGATGTTATACTCACAGTCTTTGGAACTGCAACTTTGTTACATTTCAAATGCCTATACCCACGCTTCCCTCTCCATGCATTATATTCTCGTGTGGTGATGAGTTCTATTGGTGTGTGCTGTTTTATATCCTACACCAGGATACACGCTTTCTAGATGCTGCAGTGGTTCCCTGTAGTAGTCCCTTTGGAATGCAAGTTCTCTGTGGGTGGAGCAGTTTTTTAAAAAATTGTAACATCCAGCTTAATTGCCACACAGTAGACAATGGAAAAACTGAGTGAGTGAATGGACGGATGTGCTTTACACAAAGAAAACGAAAGGTGAAATCCCATGTTCTCTATGGGAGCACTGGCACTGCTGGCATAGCTGCTGCTACTGTCCTTCCAAGTTCAATTTTTCTTCCTTTTTTAAAAAGATTTATTTATTTGTACTACAAAGTCAGATATACATAGGAGGACAGAAAGGAAGATCTTCTGTCCGGTGATTCACTCCCCAAGTGACCGCAACGGCCGATGCTGGCTGGGCTGATCCAAAGTCAGGAGCCAGGAACTTCCTCCAGGTCTCCCAAGCAGGTGTAGGGTCCCAAGGCTTTGGGCCATCCTCAACTGCTTTCCCAGGCCACAAGCAGGGAGCTGGATGGGAAGTGGAACTGCTGGGATTAGCTCATATGGGATCCTGGCGCTTTCAAGGCGAATACTTTAGCTGCTAGGGCACTGTTCTGGGCCCTCAATTTCTCTTGTTGTTCGTTTTCATTTTTCTCCCTGACCCCAAGTGAGTAGTTGCCTTTTTTTCTGATTGTTTCAGATGCCAGACAAAAGAGTTTCTGGAAGCTTCCATGAATGTAAGAGGATTCACTGGGCTAATAACCAAATCCAATACAATCTAAATCCTTTGTCTAAAGCCCCCGGTG